GGAGACCGGGACTAGTCCATCTGTACCCATCAGCCTCTAGCTCACTCTTCTCCTCCTGTCCTTCCTTCGTCTCTTCTTCAACATCACTGTAGCATTCTTCCATCTCCCATCCTCTGCTTCACTTTAGAAGCTGCCCCCTTTTTTTCGGGCTTCTTCGGAACAGGACGTTTGTTCCGTCTGTTTCCAACTGCAAATCTAAAGACTTTTTTTGTCCGACCAAAACTGTTCTCCAAAGACTGATTACGACTGGATATGACAATCAACAAACTCTTATACATTTTTGTGATTTTTGACGTATTTGTTTCTTAGACTTTTATTCAACGAGTGTTATCTAACTACTGACTTTTATCTAGAGGTTTTTAATGTCATACCATATCACTTTGAGCCTGCTTTTATACACATCTTGAGGTGCATTTATATATTGGTTGTGTTGGATAAGCTGATCACTGTGATGACATTTTTGGACATGATTTTAAACACATGAATTATGCACTATACACAGCAGTCTTGTTATCAGAATATTCTAGTATTTCTAGTATTTCTAGTATTTCCTGTGATTGGAGACCTGAGGCAGCTTTATTGTAATACTTCTTAACCTCCTCGTCCTGCACAAGTCTTTGGCAAGGCAGTATGTAGCAAAATATTCCTGGTTGCATGACTTCTTGACAATCAACTTTGACCAAGAATAAAAGTCCTCCCATATACAACTCATATTGTAGTTTTGTTCCTTTCAAGGACCCTGGGATTGTATAAATGCAGTGTCAGATTATTCATCACTTTTCATTTAACTATCCATCAAAAATAGTCATGGGCATGCCATTTTTTAATTGTAAATACTTATTGAAAGGAAATTAAAGCCAAGAACAAATATCAATATTAATATGAAAGATATTCATGGATGAGGTAAACAATATGTAGCAGGACTTCTATGTAATAGCGATCCTATTTAGAACCTGAAGCACAAGTTGGAGCATAAGTATGAAAAAGAAAACTGTGGTTATAAAGGGATACAGTTTTGTTCAGCAGTGGAATTACAGCAGTGTCTATATCGTCACATACCATGTAATGCAGTGTGTTTAGATACTGTACATGCCATTGTAAATAGATACATATTTTAAACATGCATGCATTTATGTGAAAATAAGTTGTAGACCGTGTAAGAAGAAAATGCTTGGCCCATCCCATGACTACATAGTGACTGAGTTATGTCTTTTTTAGAGTGCGTGCATTAGTCTCCTTTGCAATGGTTCAGAGACGAAGGCTTCGCATACCAAAACCAGCACCAACGTGGGCTTTTCAGGCAAAACGAGTCCCACTGTGAGCCACACGAGTGAGCCTGATAGTGGTGATTCCCTCCTCGGTGATCCAGTTGAGGAAGAGTCTTTTGATCAGGAGGAGGTCGTAGTGTTTGAGACCTCCTTACTGCCCATCATAGAGGAGGAGATGGCGCAGCTGCCTCCCTCCCTCGACCCCTGCTGTAGAGGTTTAAATGAGACCCAAGAAGAAGAAGAAGGATCAAACCCAGAAGTGATGGAGGGCTCGGGGAGGATAGTTGGATCTTCCCAAGCTTCCTATTTCAGGAGCGATGGTCCACAGGTCATATGCTGCTTCCAGGTAGTCTCATGACCACCTCAGGGTGACACTGACTCTTTCACTGCTTGCCTGCTGTATAATCCAAAAGCTGCCCCACCTGCTCACTCCCTTGCAGCACCATGACAATTAAAAACTTGAATTGGTTCAGCTCAATAAACAGTGTAGTGTGATTAACCAGTAAGATTACCATGTTAAAATGTAACTGATTGCTGCAGAGGGGTGTGCTAAGCTCTCCACTATGGTGATGGGTCACTTTAACACCAGCACATTCTTCTCTGCCCCAAAATGACATTGACATCACTTTCGTCATCTTTCTTATTGCTTTGACAATTTCCATTTCCCCGTTTCTTTGGTTGTATCTGGTGGTGGGAAGTGAAGCTACAAGGTGATTCTGTTGTTTCTAAAATAATCAGCTGGTATGAAATTGGTGAGAAGAGAGGGCTGTTTTGGTGGGAATCAATCCACACAGGCTTAGTTGGGCTGCATGGTGTGAATTTGGTTACTATGAGGTGCAAAGTGTCTGGTTTAAGAGACACTCATGGGGCTGTGCTCCAATCCACAGCCCCCTCTGGTGCAGACCCAGACTGTCACCATCACAGCTGTCTCCAACTCCTTATCCAGTGGCATCTCCACCACAGAGGTCCCTGTCGTCCCCACCAAGACCTTCATCTATGCCTCTTCAAAGGTAGGGGCCTCCAGCGCCTGCTCCGACCAGATCTGTCACACCTATAGGTGATCAGTTTGCATGGAGGAGATGTTAGCACAATAGAGTAAAACAGGTCTTGGAGAACCAGGCCTCCAGGGGCACCAGAATGAGCATAAAGCAGCACTGCACCTTCCTGACTGATGCCCAGGGTTTCATGGTCTAAACCTTGTTACTTAGTCTTCTTTTGGGTCTTTTCTCAGGAGACAGATGACGGAACAGAAGACAAAGATGGCACAACCACGTCTAGCTCCAAGACCGTCACCACGGAGAACATCGGTGGCACCTCAGTCACCACCACTACCACTCACATCTCAAAGGTCAGCAGATCAGTCTTTGCAGTGTTTTTATTTGAGTTTTTATGTTAATGGCCTCTCAGTTATATTCTTCTTCTCTCTACCAGGTAGTGAAAAGCGGATCTTCGGAGAGTCGTGTGGAGAAGAGAATCGTTATAACTGCAGACTCTGATATGGACCAAGATAAGGTACAAACCTGCAGCCTATTACTGATACAAAACTGCAATTCACCACATTCACAGGACGGCAATATTACTCCGACTTTAGAGTGGAACGCTGAAACGCTGTCATAATGTTACACTATTTTATTTTTTACAAAACTGCTTTAAATGCTTGCTTAATGTAAAAATATAGTGAAAAAGACATCAAGTTGACATCTTACTGACTTCCTGGAGCCAGAGTAGCTTTTTCATTATGTGTAACAGTTGAAGCTATATAAAAAAAAAAACACACAAGTTGTACAGATCTGCTCATCTATCTCTCAGCAAGAAATCAGTTTCCTCAAAATGTCCCAACTTTTCTATATAACATTGGCCTACTAACACTAACAACAGTGCACTTAATGTCTGTGTTGCAGGAGAAGGCTGACGGAGCATCAGCATTGTAACTGAACCTGAACCACCATCTGCATCCTCCCCCGTAAATCTTTGACCGCCATTGATCAGAGCGCAGCAATCATCACACAGTGACCAGCTCTAGACGCACACGCATATCCAAAAAATAATATCACATTAATGCACACCTCAACTTTTGGATAATTGAGTTAGTGGATCCTCTGCATTTTTTTTTTTTTTAAATCAGTTGAGCTGTTCATTGTAGGTCGAGTGCTGAACAATGCTCATCCAGGTGTTAAAAAGCTTGGTGAATACACTTTGTTTAAAAACAGCATTTTCTGTTGAGTTACATTTGCTTTTAAATGCATTTATGTCCTAGTGGTTTTTAACATTGTTGATTTTATACAAACAGACTGTTTCCGTTTTAGTTTAGACGCCATCATCAGCATATTTCCCCTTGGTGCTGCTTGGGGAACGTTAAGACTACATTCAAGGGAACTCTTATTTTGTTGTTGTTTACTTGTCTATTTAATTCAGGAGAGACATTTTCTTCAAAATGAAATGACATACCTCACATCATTGTGTGGACAAAGATATTCTGTGCTCAAATCTGAACAGTAGTTTGGCTTTGTTCACTGCTCAGGTACAAAAACAAAACAAAATATCAAATCTTTTTCTTCCCTAACCAGCCAGGAAGCCTGTAGCCTACACATTATTGTAAAGTTTGAATTAAAAATTGATCTATTTTGAAATATGTCTCTGTTTTATAGAATTGATGTTTTTATAGGATTTGTACAAAATTGAGGTTTTTAAGTTATTCATATCCATCTGCATCCTTACGTTGTAGGTTACCATTGTGCTGTTTACGGAATTTTGAGGTCTTAATTCCAGACCTGCTTACCTGTCTTGCCTGACACCCTGAATCATTCTTATTCGTTTCCTCTTGTAGTCCACCAAGCTTATCAAACCTTTCACAATGTACTAAGCAGTGCTTCCCTCTGCCGTGTTTTCTTTAGTAGCATAGAAGTCAGATTTGCTTTGAATATATTTGGTTGATAAAATAAGTTTTACAAGTCGGGTCTGTTTATCTCAGGTTTTGATATTCTTTGTAAGACTACAGACCTCCATATGATTGTATGAGGAATGTTCATATATGTATATCCACCCCTACTTTAAATGTACATTTATGTTCAGCAAAGTGAGGTCAATAAGTACAAAGCTCGTCTGTCACAGTAAGCACACATGTATGAGGTGAAGGCAGTTGTCCCAGCACATGTGGCTTTTCTCTCACAGGAGCACAAAGTTGTCTTTTTTTTTTACATGTTCTACTATACAGTAATTTATTTGTAAAGTAGGAACCGTTTCATGTGATTTGATGTACTGTGATGTTTCAACACAAGCTGGTTTCCAGGCTTCCACTAGAGATGTCACTGTGTTAAATATGACATTGATTATGAACCAAGTTTGTAAAGCCTTTTTACCACATAGTCTTCGAAATAGATTGCTCTCTCACCTGCTGTTTCCTGTACGTTTTCATAGAAGAGAAAATACTTTTAACTATACCAGTCCCTATTAGATAGTATGTTTGGTAGCAAAGTTTTCTTTCTTTTTTTTTTACACAAAAAGAAGCCATTGGTATTGTAGCTACATCAAAACAACAGAAACCTCTCCTGGAAAGAAATGTAGAATTTCACATCATGAAAGTTAGATTTTTAGACCATGGAAAATGTTGTTGCTTTGTGACTTTTCCTGTCTTTTTATGAAAAAAATAAAAGATGCATTATTTTGCATTTTGTTGGGCTGTCAATGTTGAAAACAAGGTATGAACAACAACAAGGTATCACTAAGACATAGTTAATGTTGGTCCCTTATTTATTGTATTCCACAGAAGTTGCTAATGAGTGTTCAATCAACGACATACTCGTGAAAAGTGTCACATCTGGCTAGAATATGAAACTACCATACAGGACTATCAGGAATATTGGTAGTTTCCTTATAAATAAGTACTTGCATTGCCACTAAAATTCATTGAGACTGCATGTTTTATAATAAGGTCAAAATCAGACATTGTCTTAATGTAACATGTTCTAGATCTCTTCCTCTTATTCGGTCGACTTTGTTTCTTAGCACCTGATCACAGTGACAAATATTTTAGTGATTTAATAAAATAAATTTGAACAGAATTTAATTTTATGCACAATCCATAATTTATTTCTTCACAAATTTAATATGGTTTGATGCAATTTAATGTAGACTTGAAAAAGAACCGTGTGACTTTCACTGGTAAGGCAAATCCTGATACATTCAATCCTCTGCTCTGCTGCCATAGAGCAATCTGCAGCTTTCTTTATCACTAAGTCAAAGCCACTTTGTGCCGCAGAGGGACAACTCTAACATGTATTGACATCAATTAAAGTAAAACTATCAGGAGATCAACCATCTGGGGAAATGTACCTATTTAATACAAGAAATCTAACTTAATCCACTAAATGAGAGGAAATGTCTGAATCTGATTGTGTCTATAAACGGAGGTCAGTTTGGGGAACTGTACAGGCATTCACTGGAAATATATAACCCTGCTTCAAACATATAGAAAACAAAGTCTTTGAATTCACTCTATCATCAAAGCAGAGTTCTAGCGAATCGTCTTGACGGGGCTTTTGAAGGTTGAGGCAGCCTGAAGTTGGAGTTGATAAGCCATCGGGTGGATTTTGAACCCATATAACCTGGAAGAAAAAAAAAAAGAATAACAATCACTTCCTGAACAAAAATTATTTTCGCTGTAATCCTGAGGTCAGGGGTCAAGTTTTGAATGACATTTTTTAAGCTATTGCCTATTTGTTTCAGAGTTTTAGTACAGATATCAAAACAAACTGTAATTTAAATTATAATGGCACTTAATTCAAACTTTTAGTACAACAGACAGATTTTGTTTTGTATCATTTAAATCTAAAGCCAAACATCCAGCAAATCAAACAGCTGTAAAGGCATGATAAAACAGTTAAAACCATACCAACATTAAATCAAAAAAGTGTTGGATCAAACATACCTTGGCACAAACTGGTTGGCTGGTCGCTTTGGACGATACTCCGGATGCACCATGAACAGCATGTGGGGGAAACCTGTACCAAAGTAGGCTCCATCTGTGTGGTGATGTCTGGAGGATTTGGGGGTGTAAACATCCATGCACTTAGGACAATAAAGTTTCACCATTGCTTCTCCAGGGATGTCTGACAATCCTACATGAAAAATGAGAACAGAGACAGCTGAGTGAGTACTCACTGCTACTAAATAAGGAAAAACACACATTTCATTTGAGGTTAAGAAAAAAAAAGTGAAGACTTACCAATAGGAAGCATTGGCTGATTCTCACAATAGACTCTGGGGCAATAACCAAAATCCCCTTGTTGATACTTTTCCAGCTACAGAGGATATTACATTTTGAGATCAATGTTAAATCTTGTCATACAGCATGTAAGAATATGAGGTTATTAGGTAACAGCTTACCATCTGTGCAATGCCTCTGTTGGTGAGGATGTAACGTGCGTGAATCAGCCCGTAGAGCATCTCCGCTGCCTGCTCTATCAGATCACTCTGATTGGGATTATCTTCAAGTTCCTCATCTGTCAAATTACAACATGTTGAATGTTTGCTGGATGTGCTTCAGTTCATTTTATACGGGAACTGCTCCTTCTTTGATATTCTCTCACCTGGCTCCAGGTCAAGGATCATGTCCAAAGCCTGCCGATAGTGAGGCACCTGCTCATTCAAACCGGTCAGGTTAAACTTGTCCTGAATGTAATCTTCATCGACCTGCAACACATAACGCAAGACAATGGAAGACAGTGAATAAAGAAGGTGTCAATTGGGTTTGCAGCACACACTCATGTGGAAGCATTACACAAGAATTTAACAGGATTACTCAAATTCTGCCAATGAAGACAACAAGGGGTTAAGATTAGAATTGGATTGGGCGAGGGCTAACCTTTCGGATGTGCCACCATTACACATTGTTTACCACACAACTCCTGGTATTTTACTTAAGCAGCTTTGAAGAGTGCTTCAGTTGAATATATTAGCAGAAAACAAACGAAGGAAGGAAGTCTCCGTAACAGGCAGCTCAGGCAGATTGAGTAGGATTTGCTGTCTGCAGATTGTAAACACAATGTTTAAAGTTGAACCCGTCCTTCCTACCAAAACAAGAGAAGCTTCTTTCCTCTGAGATGTATGCTTAATGTCTCACCTGGCTGATCATCATCTCACGATTGAGACGAGTGATTTGTGTATGAGGGAATACAAAGTTTGTTTGTTTGTTTGTTTTAAAAAGCCATGCATATATTCATGCTGGAAATACAGATAATAAGAAAGCATGATTTCTGGACCAGGGATAAATGTGATGGTACAGGCATTAAATAAAACTGAGAGCAATACAACTGCAGAGTATTTACATCCATAATACACTAACAGACAGGTTATTATACAATTGAAAATAAAAGGACTAAAGTGTCTGTATGTTTATTTATGATGTTAGGCACTGGTGAATATAAACATGATTTTAAACAGCTGAAGATGAGTAACCCTGCAGACTCACCTCGCAGAAGAACTCATTCCCTCTCAGGCCACAGAACCAGGAGATCCAGGAGACCTCCTCTGAGCTGCTCATCCTCCTGACAAACCAAAACACGGTTTATCTTCATCTTTAAACCAAAACACAGTTCATCTTCATCTTTTAAAAAAAAAACAATCACATCCTCCTCAATGCTCGGCTAGCTGCTAACAAGCGGCACTTCACATTCTCGACTTCACCGACAGAAATTCAACCCTTTGTTACATCATAAAGCCAACAGATTGAAGCCTTTATATTGGTAACTTTAAACTTAAATTGTGATATAACCATTTATAATCTGAAATGAATGCTGAGTTTGCTTCTATAACCTGCTACCTACGTTAGCTTACAGGCTAGTTATTTGCTAGCGTTTATTGCCATTAGCACGTTATTGCATATGAAGTCTAATTAAAGAGTTTAGCTTTGATATATGTTAGAGGCGCATGTAAATCACAACACGTGGACATATCTACTTACCCTTCTGTGTATTAGTTAACACATTAACTTGAAAGCTCAGCTCGTTGATCTTCTCGATCCTGAACGAGAAATACTGTTTCCGGTGGTCGGACTTAACAAAATAAAATATCTCGTGACCTGACCGCATTATTTCATTTAGCTGAAGTGAAACCTATTGTTTGCAAAAAAAGTATGGTTGATGAAAACATTAATCAAGAACATAAAAAATTTATTTACATGTTAATTAATTTCTCAAAGAAGGTGACATATCATTTTGAGTAGCCTATGTGCAGATGTCTTCAAATATGTTCACATAGCTCTATCAACACATCTGATATGTTGGTTTCTACCAAGTTCCCACCTAACATCAAACACGGTGACATTAAGATACTGTATTTTTATAGACCTAAAGTAGAAGTAGGCTCACTTGAAAAAAAAAAATAGCCTAGGTAGGTGGCCTACCTATGTTACATATGGTCATACAGGTCTACAAAAAACCGACCAAACAGAAAGTCCAAACATTTTAGACAGATCACATTTATTCATAAAAAACTGCAAATCTTGTGATAAGTTTGACGTTTCTTACTGCTACCAACAGAGAAAAGTCACAATGACAGTCATTCCCAGCTGGGATGGAGATATCCTTCAGGGCAGGTCTGAAAAGGTTTTGCGACAGGGGGGCCCCACATGCTTTGGCTCCTGCTCCTTCCCAATACCTTCAAACATCAAGATCCTTAAATGAGGAAAAACTGCATGTCAGTGCATACAAAACTACTTTAAACCAAGTATCCTACATGTGAGCTACTTGGGCTTTGTTCTTTCAGGTAGGCCTATATGTTTTTGTATATTTATAAGGTTATTTACTTGTACTTGAGACTTTTGGTTAGTATTCATACTTTAGTACAGCTAGGCAAAAGGCCATCGGTACAAAGCTTAACATTTTATGACTCCAGCACCACCTTTTGGTCCCCATCTTTTCTTGGAATTAAACAATATTAACTCACAGTTTTAGAATGGCATGCTTTTTTCCCAGCATCATATTCAGGAAGTCAGTGTAGCTGATGGTGTCTTTCGATTTCCCTCCAACCACCTCTGACATCATTTTTTTCAGCTCTAAGTGAGTCTTAGCCAGTCCAAGTTTTTCCAGCATTCGTTTTAAGCCCATTATATCTGTCAAAACGATAGTTCAGGATTAGTAGATGATTTAAAAAGGCTCTATAATCTGTGAAGCAAGTTTTGTAAATGATTCAGATATTTACCTATGTCTCCTTTGTCGTTAAGATCAAACTCCATGTATTTCCCTGAAATAAAGCAAATCAAATATCATTTCAAACCTTCTGGCTTTGCACTTAAAACAAAAACGATTCACTATGAAGTGATAGCTCCTAAATAGACTACTCACGTTTAAACATTTCGAGCTGTGAGCTAAGATCCTCCTCTTCTGCATACTGAGGGTCTGAGAGAAATGCCTAGGGGGGATAATTAATTAATAACTAATATTATCAGACATGTCATTTTTTTTGACACCCCTAAACTCACCTCATTGATAGAGTTGAGTTTCTCTTCCTGTTGAGACTTGAGTAGACCATAGGCTTTACCTCCTGTTAAAACAATACACAGGAGATATCATCAATTGTATATAAACACAATAAAACAAAAACAATATAATCTTGTACTGACTTCACAATTAAAATTAATCAACAATATACAAGGCAAATACTGATGTCCAATGAGTAAAACTAACCTTGAGAACTGTCCATTTCGGCCTGTGAAAGTAATACAGAGAGTGAAAAGCTCTGATGCAGTTTCTTTAAATAACTCCAGAAGAGGAAGTGAAGTGAACCAGTTTCAGGAAACATTTGTGTGGTTCCTCTGTTGTATTTAAGGCTGATGTGAACTGAGGTCAGGTAGAGGATGCATGTCATTGTCACTGACATACTGTCTAAATTTCCCCAGATTCAGAAAAAAACAAATGTGTTTGTGTATTTCTCAATAGGTGAAGTTTGCATACAGTATACCTGCTGTGTAACAGCGAGGATGAGCTCATTTAGAACTTTTAGCTTTTATGAAGATGACACAGACAAAAAGTGTTTAAGGAAGGAAGAGTGGTGCAGAAGGAGAACTGAAATCTTTGGAAACAGAAAGTAATGCAAACTACTCTAGAGATATCATTTCTTGGGTTGTTTGACAAATAAAAAATATAGGGCCCCAATACATCCCACTGTTCTCCCCATCATAGCACCCACGAGTGTCCACCTATCCATCTATTTTTATTCATATTTATCTTATCTATTCTGTTTAAACCTTTTATTTTGTATGTCTTTCTTCTTCTGTCTTTGTGCTGCTGCAACACCCGAATTTCCCCACTGGGGATCAATAAAGTATTGTCCTTTTCTGTCCTAAATTCAGCAGTTACTCACATTCCCAACTTGAATTTGATACTGAGCTGCTGTACTGAACAGTTCAGGGTTAAATGTTTTGCACAAGTGCATGTTTGGATGATTATGGAGGAAAAAGTGTTTTTCTTTCACGTTCATCACACACGTTTACATTTGTAACATCAGCCTTTAAGGTCTTTTGTCATGTCGCCTAATGTCTTGCTCTCGCCACATGATGGCAGTATTTAACCTTTGATTGGGTATTCAAGAAAACTAGGTTGACATTGTAGGTTTCCTGTGGACAGCTCTGAAGAGAACTGAGAATAGGTGGAGACTGTATGGTGAGCTTAAAGAGAATAGTCTTTTGTCCCTCCACTTGTTAACACAATGCACAAAATGGCTCATGTTCATCCACAAGGTCTCCTCATGTTAGTTCTGTTTGTGGTCATATCAGAGTGCAGCGGTGAGTAGGTCACTAAGTATTTTCTTAACCAGTTTGAATTCATGAATATCATAAATGTTTTGATATTGTTTGTAGTCAAAAGACACAGAAATAATTCAGTATACATTGTGACTATGATTGATCGTAAAATGTAAGCACGCTTATGCTACCAACTGAAAATATTGTTGAAATATTAGCCGTTTTAAAAGGTTGTCTGCGTTAGAGTTTAACACTAAATGCTATACAGTACCTTATCTTAATAAAACATCTTTGACTGATCCTAATCTTTATTCATCATTATTGTTTAAGTTGTTTCACCAGTGTCTGAGACTGTGGCTGCCACTCAACAAGAAGATGTAGCTCTGCCCTGTTTTATTTCTAACCTGACGGATCCAAAGAGCTGCTACAGAATCAAATGGATGAAGAACACCTCAGGTGCCAATCAGAAAGTTATTCTTGCCAGGCCTAAAACAACAAACATCCGGGATGCTGAGCGAGTAAAATGGGAAACTAATGGACGAGGAGAAACGTCTCTTATTCTGACCAAACTACAAAAGTCTGATGAGGGAGTGTACACCTGTGAAATATGCAAAGGCTGGGCCTGTTCAATTGTCAAAAACATAACTCTAATAGTAAAACGTAAGGGTCTCTATTTATTTTTTCGGTATTCTCTCTTTATTTTACTAGTAGCCTACATATATTGTTCACGTGAATCCTCGCTCTTTCAGAATGCAAGTCCCTGACGGCCATGAAGGAACCACCTGGTAAATCAGTAAACCTGAACTGCCATGTGAACATGACATCAGGGCAACAAGGACCCCTAAAAATCTTCTGGCAAATGCTGAAAGGAGACAACCCTGTTAACATTACATCTAAAGCAGTTGGAATGAATGGCAGATCACTAACTATCCAGTCTGTGAATTCCAGTGACAGTGGCTGGTACAGATGTAAATACATGCTTGGACAAACTCAGCGCTGCTTTGAAATAAAACTTCAAGGTAACATTTTTGACAATTTAATATTAATATCATAGATACAAATGACATGATTGATCAGTCTTTTGTATCTTTTCTATGTCCCCTGTGAAGTGGAAAATGTAGTTGTGACCTCAACATCTCCAGGTATTGCAGTAACAGCTCCTTAAAGAATTTACATAAACTTCTTTTGCATCAGTAATCTTCTGTACGAGGAGTTATTGTAAATGCATAGTTGTTCTTTTTGTCTCCTCAGCAACGATAACCAGTGGGGTTCATCTGGAAACCAGGAATGAGGGGAACAGTGGAGTATTTATCGCAGTTATCGTGTCTTCAGTCATTATAGGGATTGCCATAATATTTGCTCTGATACTACTGGCCATCTACTGCAGACGTAAAACCCAGAGAGCTGCACAGCAGACACAGAGACACCTCACAGGTTTGAGCAGTCCAGAAGTCATGTCTTTTTTCACACGGATACAGTTTAGTAACATGTTTATTTTTGTCTTTTATTTCTTATCAGCTGCTGAGTCTAACCATTTGTACGAGTTTGTGACTCTTACACTTTCTGAGGGTGAGCACCTTTTTCTCTTTCTCGCTACCTTTCCTGAGTCTGACCTCTGTGACCTCTCTTCCTACTTTTTTTTATATCTTCACTGACAACTTGTTATCTTTATTTCATAGATCCTCTACACCAGCGAGTTAACAGCTTTTACCAAAGCGAGGAAGATGGCTTGCATAGTTGTAAGTGCTATTTCAAAGTATACTGTACACTAATTTCTCATTACATATTAAGAAAACAAATAACACTTTTCCTTCCTTCATTACAGTCTGTTATTAGTGCTGTTGTGCTGAAGACAGATACAATTCTCCAGCTGTCTGTTTCCAGAAACAAAATGCAAATTTACCTAAACCTGATTATTTGGAAAAAACTTCTTCAAAGATCTATATTGAGAAAAATGGACCTCTCTGTGTTCATCCTCTGTTGAAAATACCCCTCATCTCCACGCTGTCTGTATCAATCTATCCAATAATGTTTTTAAAGATGAAATGACACGTTTGCAATTATAATCTTACAATAATATATTTAATTCAGTTTAAACCATATCGTTGAGAATGATAAATGATTGTGATTAAGGATACATAAGCACTAGTCTGCTTTTTCTGTATGCTACAAGTAAATCTTTCCATAAAAACAGATCATATCGATGTAAAATCAATCACTTTTGTTAGTTAACAGCCTGCAATAAATCATAGAAACTGTCAGTAGTGGTTGCTGCTTCTCTTTTTGGTCGTCGTTTCGGGGGTTGTTCCTCATTACTATCGTCTTCGATGTCCTCATACACATGAGTCTGTGAAGAGAAGTACGGAAATGTTACACTGGGATAGTTCAGCCTAAGAGAGGAAAGATTCTTTAAGTGCAGCTCGTTTATGTGTTTTGTCTTACCATTCCAATACTTGTCAGTTCATTCTCTTTAAACAGAAAAGGGTAAAAAGATCAGGTCTTTTTTTTTTTCATCAGATCTTCTCTACATATGTGCCTTTAACCAGACTGACCTGCATCCTTGTTGTGCTTCCTCTTCACGTACACGTAGAGAACTCCTGCACTTATGAGCCCCAACAGGCCGATAGGAAGGATTAACCATGCAGCTGTTGACAGAGCTGTGGACATTAGATTAATACAGTGTTGTTTACTCAGACATTAATCCTAGATTTGGGGTTTATTTCAGACAAAGGGCAACAAAGGCATCATGTGTACTTACAGTTCACAGTGTGCCACCTCTTTGAAGCCATCAATTCACCCTCTCTATACACAGAGCAAGTTAATTCATCTGATGCCATGGACAAGAATGGTACATCTATCCTTTTTATTAAAGTGTTATTTTTGGTGTCCATGAAGCCACTCTGCAAGCTATTTGAAACGTTCCCAGACCAGGTTAAATTTAAGTCTTTTCCACATTCTTTGGAGCACTTAAGCACACAAGTCAAGGTGACATTTCTGCCTCCTGGGCTGCTCTCTGAAAAAACTAAAATGACAGACATAAGAGAAAATGTTTTTAAAAGAGTGATGAAAAAAAAGTTAACACATTTTGTTTTTGCACTTTTTAAAACACTCACCATCTAAAGTATACAGCCAGATTTTATTCAAAACCTGACCACCAGCTAAACATTGGTATTCCCCTGCATGCAGAGGACTCACGTTCATAATTCCATGTGATGAGATTTCATTCTCACGAGATGCCTCTGTTTGCTTTTTATCAGGGGACATAGCTGTCACTGGTTGTGACCCCATCCTCCACATCAATCTGCTGAGGGAGGAAGTGTTGCCACAAGAGAGTGACACTGACTCACCCACTGCAGCAAACACTTCCTCTACACCATCTAGGGTAAAGGGAAGCGGGTTACACTTTGGACATGTACAACCACTTTTAAAATTATAATTTAGGAGAACTTCAAGGTTGCATTTGGTACCTTTTACTGTCGTTGCATAACTGACGTTGGCTTTAACTGTGCCGTTTAGACTCAATTGGCATCTCCATTTTCTGTGATGGTCTGTCAGTTTGTATCTGATGATCAGCTTACCGAAGCATGCAGAGATATTTTCAGATCGAAACCTGTTTCCATTTAAAGGTGTGTTGTCTTCAGTAGACCAGGTGATATTCATTCCTCTGGTGTTACAAGGTTTATAACCTTGATGTGTGTTGAGATAACAGTGAAGCTCTATCTTGTCAGCTGCTGAATTTGAATTTTCAGAAACTAATGGATGAAACAAAGGAAGAAAAAAAAGTAGGAAAAAACAAGTACCTTCAGTGATATTGTCGCTAACTTTACTAACAGCATATACAGTAGATCACTCACTCTGAAGAATCCTAAGGGAAGCATTTGAAGAGAGTGCTCCACTTTTACAGGAGTAAAGTTGAGCATCAGGGAGTTCCATGAGACTGATCTGCAGAGAGCAGTCCTTCTGCAGCCTGAGTCTACGGACGTACGGATCGGTCACCTGTTCAGCCTTCACCAGCTCTGTGACTGGATCAAACCTGCTCCAGATCACAGAGGAGCACGATGTGATGGAGGGTATGCCACATGGCAAAGTGATACTATTTCCTAGTGTGGCAATCATCCCCAAAGGATCTGTTGGAGAAGCATTTTATTCAGTAGTTCTAACTGCATCCCAGAACAGTGTTCACAAAATCACAGTGACAGAGTGTAAAGTTTGTGAAGTCTGAATTATCAAGATAATGCAGTTGATTTTCATGCATGATTAGAAATGGAATCTTTTGAAAAATCTCACCATTTTTAAATGATCTAAGCGCATAGAGTTATGAAGGTGTACAACAAAAAAGATAGATAACAGGTCAACAAGACACAAATGTATGTTTCTTCTTTTTTACCTGGTGACTGAAGTCCTGCTGCTGAATGTGTGAGAGAAAGAAGACAGAATCTGAATAGTAAAAAGAAAGCCATTCCTTGTTCAGAAACGAGCTCCTCGCAGATCCTTTTCTCCGTCCTATTGCTTAATCTGCAGATCTTAGCAGGAGTTTTTCAAAACACATTTTCAGGAAATGACATAGTGAACGCTTATTGTATGTGACTACCAGCCCATAAGAGAGGCTGATGTAATCATATCATCCTGTTGTTAGAGTGTTTAAATGTTCAAACTTGATCACAATACTTCAGACCATTTGGTATGGATTAATAATAAATTTAACCAATTCAATCAGAATATGCAACACAACAAGGAATTATATGAGGCATTCACAAGAAACATGAATGGGAAGGTTTTTTTTTAATACATTTCAGATAATACAAAAACATTTTTGCATATGAGTGCTCAACATTTAAGCAAAGTAGAGTGTCATAAATTCAGGGGTTAGTCATAGGTCTTGGAAGTGCAATAACTGTGTAGGACTGGATCTTGAGCACAACACTAGCAACTCCTTTCAGGTCGGGCAGAGAGGCCCCACTCTCAGGAAGGAGGAACTGGAAATCTCTGAGCAAGTAGGCAGTGAACAGAAAGAGCTCCATTTTAGCAACCGACTCCCCCAGGCAGAGCCGGGCCCCCCCTCCGAATGGGATCAGGGCACGGGTGGTGCCTCCTCCTCCTTTCAGGAAGCGCTCTGGAGGAGGGAGAGATTGATTTGGATTTCTTAATTTAAGACCTGGTGAGCCAAGTGATATGAATGCACTTTATCTCAACCGTCAGGGCAGTACCTGGTTTGAAGGCGTGTGGGTCAGCCCACACTGCAGGATCATGGTGAGCTCCAAAAAGATTAGGAATGATGATTGTGTTCTTAGGGATGATATAACCTGCAATACTAAACATAGTTTGGGATTAAACATCAACCCAAAATGCAAATACACAATTAGCACTATTGTTAAGAAAAACATAAAGAATAAAATACAAAAAAGAAATAGCTACATACACTGCAAAATACCCAATTTTTTAGCTTGCTAGAATAGAAACAAGAGTCCTTTATCATAGACTGCCTAAAACATGGATGTATTTTCAGTGACGGCCGTTTTCTGAAGAGGTTAAGGAAGCCCAAAGATGTTGGTCGCCATGATGAATATACTGGCTACCTAACTTCCAACAGCCAAAGAAGTGCAGTGGAGATGTGCCCAATGAATATCTTGGTTGCTGAAACACATCCATCTAGGGAGCCTAAGATGACGAGCAAATAATAAGGCGGACAGTTAAAGGTCAGTAACAGGATTTAGCTGGAGTGAATCCTGTCCTCCTGATAAAAACATGCCTGCCCGTCAAATCGGCCACACCCCTTATATCAATTTAATTAAATTTCATTTAATTAAAATGGATCGGTTAAAGAAAATTAACCCAATAATCAATAAAGCCGAAAACCTTCCTACGACTGCTGAACTGCAAAAAACTGCAATCCTTCTAGTGTCCGCTTGAGGATGGCTGCAAAGACTCATAAGTCTCTTACAGACAAAAAATATTAAAATATCCTTTTTGTCAGCAAAAATGTAAATGTTTACAGCCTGATAGAAATAACTATTTTGGTCTTATAATCAAACAATCTTTAATTGTATAGCACCAATTCATAACAAATGTTATCTCAAAACCCTACGATGGACACAAAAAAGCAGGTACTGTTTTATTAGTTAATGTTTTTAGCGGCACATACTGTATGGGGGATGCATTTGTAGATCTCACGCAGTGTGATTTTTTTTTAAGGATATGAGTTCTGCATAATTAGGATGAATCTGACTCCTCAATTTCAGCTCTTTGCCTGTTGTTAGGTTATCCTTAAGTTTGACAGAGTCAGCATTTACAATATTGCTCTTCAGAAACCAATCAGTGGCATCACTCAGGCTTCATACAGGTTCATTTAAAGTCTATGGTCAGGAGGCCTTAAGCAGGCCTGTATTATTAGTTTAATACAGCATGTCAAATTTGGCGACACCCACAGTGGATTTAAAAAGTGCGATTCAGAGACCAATGGGTGACTTCACGCGAGTCCATGTTTAGTAGTCTGTAGTTTTAATGGAGGGTCCTAAGCTTTTGGAGCCAGCTTCAAGTGAACACCCAAAGAATAGCGCGGTTCTTGCACAGCATTGGCTTCATTTTTCGGCTCTTCTGTGGTTTAAGGAATTAAAAATAAATCCTAAAAAAATCCAGTTCAAATGTTTGACTGTCTTGGAGAAGAAAATGTGCACTTGTCATCATACATAAAACCACCAAAGTTTAACACTTCTGCTCAGCTGACCTGCTGTCTCTGATGGCTCTGTGTGGCACAGCTAGTGGAGCAACAGGCCTGAGTCTGAGCACCTCACTGATCACAGAGCACAGGACTGGGAGTCTGTGTCTGTCACTGTACTGAGGGTATCTTCCCTCGAGCACTGTGCACAGCTCTTCATACACCTTTGTCTGCACCTGGGTGTGAGGCCAAAGAGGAGAGAGTCAAGAAGTTAACAGCAGGGGGTGTAATTGTACATGTATATGGAAAAGAAAGTGCCCTGCCTCTGGTCTGTGCAGTAGGTAGGCCACAGTCCAGTTAAGCCAGGCTGCAGTGGTCTCTGTTCCCCCGATGAGAAGGTCAACAGTGGCCATGTGAACATGAACATCTGTGAGAAGCTATAGAGACATGAAGGTTATTTATTACACCAGTGCTGTTTTCAATATATGAGTTAATTTTGTTATGTAACATCACACCATCTGTTTTACACAGACAATAAACACATCCGAAACAACTCCATACAGTTCAGAAAGATTGTTTCAATTGCTGTGTACTTACTGCTCCATTTTCTACGTTTTGATGTGCGTCAAGGCCATGAAGCAGGGATGCCGTGATGGCCTCCTCATCTTTCTTGTCTTGCATCTTCACAGATAACACAGAAACAGCTGATAAAAAGACAGGCCTGTGTAGGATTCATATGTTGCTTTTTAAACGGTGGCAGTCTGATTTGACTTGTGTCTTTTCAACATTTTGGCATTTATTTTTTATTTTTTATTTACACAAGGCTGTACATAATAAACCTCTGACCTAATGAAGTAACACTTGTTTACTTTTTTATGTACATTTCCAGCCTTACATTCTGTGAAATCATACCAACCTTATAATTGTTTAGATGTTTCCTGATAATTCCATCCCTCCTGGCCACTTCTTTTAGGAGACGGGCAAACACAGGATTGGGTAATTTCTTTGAAAAAGACAAATGGCATGTCAAAATTTCCATTTGAAAATATTTGCTTGTCTTTCATGTGAACTAGTGTTAATAAAGTGTATATTTACTGACTCTAAGCAGCGGAAAAGAGTCCAGGGCAGAAATCCAAGTGGAGCCCCACAGAGCAACGATCTCATTCAGACAGCTGTGCAGCTCCTGCAGCTCCAAGGAACTCTTATCATACTGGAAAGCACAGAGGTTAATGTTTGGATAAATCCTGTTTAGTAACAGATCAGCATGTTATGCTTGCACTTATATAAGCGCCTTAAAAAGAAAACGTTAACAGAGACAACCAAGTACCAGTCTGAAAAACCCCATAATTCATCTGTGCTATTGAAGTTACAAACAAGCTGCAGGAGGAAAGTTACTCACCTCCTTTCCAAAAGCCAAAGTGGTGATGACATTACTGGCTGCAACTGTGAAATCCTCCGAAAGATCAACAGCAGTGCCTTGGTATTGCAACAAAACCTGAATAGTGAACAAGCAATGGCTTATCTTTTTATGTGACTGCTTTGGAAATCCCCCCCCCCGCCCTCATTTGGTTTGCTGTCTGTGTCACTTCTGTCACTTTAGGAGAAATTACATGTTTATCATATGGTATTTAAATTGTTCCTCTTGTGTTCTGTACCTTTCTCAGATGCAGTGCCTGTCTCTCAATCACACCATGCAAAGACTGCTGGCAGCAGCGCTGCAAAGCACTGTGTACGAGACGACGCTGTGCTCTCCACTCCTCGTTGTAATCACCCAGAGAGATAGTGCGTCCTCCCCCAGACACAATATCAGCTGAAGTGTCAAGTACATGCAGTAATGCATGATTATCAATCAATCAATTTTATTTGTATTGTGCCAATTTATAACAATGTTATCGCCATACTATGGACAGAAATTTGCGTCAGCAGAAACTGAATCTGAATGTTGTTTATTTATAATTGAGTTGTTTACCTGTATAAGACGCTGGTCTCCCTGCAAAGTCTGACCATTTTTTCACCAGTGCTTCTCTTATGAGTTCACTGCTGTTAAGTACCACCATGGCTGAAAATACACATCAGGCTTTTAGTGTGGTGGCAATCTGAAGTCTACAGTACAACAAAAGAGATTTTAGATGTTGGTATTCTTAGTGTATATCCAATTTGTGATCAATCTGAAATGTAGGCATTACTTGTGTTTCCACATGTCAGGCGGTAGATGTTTCCATACCGCTGTGCCAGATTGGTCAAGTGAATTGGCAGATGATTGTGTGTCAGCTCCATCATGTTGCCTATAAGGAAGAGGCTTGGAGGACCTGGGATGGAAGGAGATGAGGAGCAGGGACGGAGCCGAGACAAACACTGCAGCAGTCTAGATTCAACTACTGGATGGAGAAGAGAAGACAAAGACAATGGTAATACAGATAAACTTATTATTAATCATTCAAAATGTTTAAGTACGGTAGTTTAGTGGTATACAAGTTGCCTATATTACAAAAAAACACTAAAATACTTAAATGTACAACCAGCATGCTCAATATTCGAATGAAATAAAAATCTGTTTAAAATTAGCAGTAGACTTACCTCCCCTTTGGTCTGTGAGCACAGATTTGTCTCTCTGACCTGAAGTACAAATCAGAAATATCAACAGCAGCACAACCAGCAGCACAGCCCCGACACTGATCATTGATACTTCTAACGCCATGTTGTGTTTCCTTGTTGGTGTCCCACTTCAGAAAGCTAATCAGCACACTGCTTGCCACATTTATAGTGTTCTCATCAGCGTCAGTGATCAGTGTTTTCATTCAAATGAAGGCCATCTAAATATTTGTGTTTGCGTCACCCTATCTGATAATGAAATTCAGAGCAAAACAAGAGATAGACTGCTAAACAAGGCTCTTCTGAAGGGTACAATAACACAGCACAGTTGATGCAACAGTCAATACTGCTGACATGTTTTTCTTGTAGAGGAAGGATTAAAAGAACTGCTTCCATCAAAGGATTTGGCTGCTATTCATTTACTTTGACAAAACAAAGAAAGAAGACACTTCAGACCCATATTAGCCACTTTTATTCCAATGAAGTGAGACAGTGCATATTTTATTACAGTAGTAGTGGGTTGGCTTACCAAGGTGATGCACAAGAATGTAAGAGTCAGAATGTTTTAGTTTTTTTAATGGACGGGTCAGGCAAAACAGTAGAAAAGTATACAAAAGTTGCAATAAAACATTTTTTTTCACTTTTTGGTACATTTCCAGAAAATAAAAGAAACTTTCGCATTGACTCAAATGTACTGAAAGCTGCGAATACAGCTGTCAAAACCACCATACAATCTATTTCAGTTTGAAAGTTACATGCAGCAATCATGAGATCCGCTGTCTTCTGGACTCCTCAAGCTGTCAGATGTTAGGTTTTTCAGGACGGAGAACCCAATGACTTAGGATGATGTTTTCTCAGCCATGAGTTGCAGGAGAGAACCTGGACGGTCTGAACTTCATCTCAGTGAAGGGAATGGATGAGTCTTTACCTTTCCAGTCTATCCAGACTATTCCCTGTTTTGGAAAACAAATATTGATGATACTTTGTTAGTGTATTTATCAAAGGTAATAAAAAAGCAGTGAATCTATGAATGTATTGCTAAATGATGGTTCTGTAGTGCCAGCTTGTAGTTTAAATGTACAAATTATGAAGCCTAAGTTACTCCTGTGTACTCAACACCCTTTGTTAAAAAAGATTACCAAAGCTTTATCTATTTGATTTCCAGTGGCTTTGAAAATACGTTCTTAAAGTTTGAATTAGAGAGGTTAAATGTACCTGATTATTACTGTTGATCCCATAAAGACCATTGAGGTTGGTCTTGTAGCAGTTTTTGTACCACCAGCCTCCAATGTAAGCCCTGGCACAGTGGATCCCCAGAGAATCTGGATCCTTGTCCCGGGTCGAGAATGGACGGCCATTATGGTACCTCATAGAGTCCCCTGAAAGAGAAACACAGTGATTTTAGTATTGAGTTACAAGGCATTTGATGTACAATACAGTGTACAGAAAAAGTTTTTACCTGCAGTTCCGGTATAGCCTGACACCTCAAGACTATAGTGCCTCTCTGCTGAGTCGATGGAGAAGTTGGCGTAATGAGCGTAAGCAGTATCATTTCCTGAACGCATATCCACTCTCAGACTCACAGGGCCGACACTGGTGAGGTTGTGGAGAAGCTCGTTTCCTAATGTTGGTAGACATAAAGAACAAAACGTTTAGGCTTATTAAACCTTTTTGATATAGATGTGAGGTTATAAGAAGCTTCTTGGTCTGTACCGAGCCAGAACTCTTCGCTAAGGTTTCCGAAGCCTGCGCTGTATTCACTCCATGTTCTGTAGAAATCTGTCTTTCCATTCATCCTCCTTTGGAACACCTAAGAACAACAAATGCCAGATTTTTTGCAATGGTCTAAATCAAATATGCCAAAAGCTTCAGTTTAAATTTTGTTAAGATAAAATACAGTTTCTCCCACCGTCCAGCCGCCTCCATCAGCCTCCATGTCACAGTAGACTCTCACTGCTCGGCCTTCTTTTCCTTGTGGGTAGATATCTACCTCTCCTGACTGCAGTGCCCCGTTCAGCAGCTCCTGAGAGCACTCAGTAGGGAAGGGAAAGCGCAGTTTTCCTATTGGATGAGATATAAGAATCAATAAAAATATCGAAAAAGGGCAAATAAATGAGCAGAATCTGAAATATTCAAAATATAATACCTGTAAGAAATTCTGTGGTGACAACAGATGTGTATTGTCCATCTCTCTCGCCTTGTACCAGAACAATATAACGGGACATTGGCAACAGTCCTGTAAGCTTATACTCTGTGATAGAAGAGTCCAGGGTCAGCTCCTAATATAAAAACAAAAACATACACACAAAGTTGATCTCTTAGTTGCTCCTGGGTATTTTGAGGCTTTTTTATATTCTGATGATGATATATAAGTCACCTTTGTCTCCTCTCCTGCCACCTGGTAGATCAGTCTGTAGCTGTGATAAACAATAGTGGTTGTCCTCCATGCTATCACTGCAGAGCGAGCACCCACCTCGTTAGCTTTAACCACTGAGGAACACAAAATGACAGTTTTAGTTGATTCACTTTAAACACAAACGCAAAAGAGCCTCATCATACTTAACTTATTCTCTCTACTTGCCATTGGCCGTAGTAAATGAAGTTGAGATGGCCATGCTCTGGAGACTGTCCTTCTGGCTCAGGACTTTGACTGTGTACAGGGTACCTCTCTGCAGGCCTCTCAGCTGGTGCGCCACTGAGTTTCCAGATAGCATCACTGTCACTGTCACGTTAGGAGCTGTGACAAGGAGATTTAACAATTAGCTCAGAAAGCCCCGCGTCAATAGTCGTTGGGGTATGGTTGCAAGCCACACTCACTCTTCGAGGACTCATAGCTGATAATGAAGCGGTCCACTTTCCCCAGACTGGGTGTCCATTGAAGCAAAGCTCTGGTATCTGTCACATTGACCACTTGCAGATGTGTTGGAGGGGCGGGCACTTCAAAAAAGAGACAATCCATTTTGTGTTTATTGCTGCTTTCACATGCTAAAGCAGAGAAAAGTAGCAAGTCAATACAGTAAGCAGGTCTAACATTGTACCTGTGGTCATAATGGATATAAGGCCGTCACTCTGCAATCTGCCGTGTGTGGTTGTTACAGTGATGATGAACGAAGATCCAGCAGATAACTTGGACAGAACCACATAAGATTGCTGGGTGTCCACGGTCACAAAGCTGCTTTCCCCTAGCAGGACCAGACGTCACATTGAAACATTAAACACATAACATTTCCGCACTCACTGATACTAAGCAAAGGAATTCTGAGGGATGCAGTACAGTGTACAGACAGCCTTTCACAGACCTGTGACAATGTTGGTGTATGTGACCTTGAAGCCTGAGAATGTGGTCTTTGGTTTGGACCAGGAAACAGTGAAAGAAGACTCTGTGACATTGCTGAAAACCATCTCTGTGGCTGGCTCGGGACCTGTTGGGGGGACAACAAGTAGATTTGTCCTACATTTCAGTATTCATCAGTTTAGGCCCATAGAAATAATTGCTTTCAGTACTAGTAGCAGTGGATAATTACTCATGTACAAACTTTATTACCTGTGATTGCAGTTACTCTGTGAATCTTTGATTGTCTCTCAGCTGTTGTACCATATACTTGCAGGACATAGCCTGTGTTTGCACGAAGGTTACTGAACTCCACTGAGCGTACATTGCCAGGGACAACCATAGAAATCCTCTTGGTTTCAGATTTGCTTTTGGATCCAGCGACTGTACCAGAGGCAGCAGTTGAGTTAAGGCTCTCACTCTGTACCTGGACTTCAGTTGTGTTCTTGGCTGTGGAGACCTTTTCCCTTTCAAAAGATTCTCCTTCAAACTCATCATGGTCCTCTTCCTCACCATCTGCCCTTGGCTCCCTTCTGACCACGGTAAAGTTCTTGAACATCCCTTGGGGTGCAGACCAAGTAATTGTAAAGCTGTAGGAGGAGATGTTTACAACCTTTACGGAACCTAATCCAGATCCTCCTATTCTCCTTGCGCTCCCGGAACTGTGGCTAGTTGTTTTGTCCTGCAGAATCTGAGCTTCACCTGCTGTTGTTGCATTGACTAAGTACTGACTCCTCTGTGCACCTTTGTCCTTTACAACCTTGCTGTTGTCAGTGTTTCTGTTGTCAACAGATTGCACATTTGAAGTTTCTACCTTGATGCGTTTGTGCCCAGATGATTTAGTAGCATTCTTCTCAGTAAGTGTTGACTGCTCCAAGGTCTCCTTCTCTGCACGTGTTTTGTTTGTTCCTGCAACTTTGGTCAGAATGGTGACAATTTTGGCTGTGCCATTAGATTTCCTAACATTACCAGCAGTTACATTGGCATGAGGTTGGTCTTTTAGTTGGTCAGATTTGGGATGTGTTTTACTGGTAGTTCCTTCTTTAACAACCTTGAGGTCAGTTCTTTGAAGGACCTTTTTCGAGGTCAGGACTGTTGTTTTTCCTTTGCGGGCCTCTTCTTGCTTTCTTCCCTCATGTTTCAGCAGAACTTGACCAACTGTTGGGCGACTAGTTCTTGTGCCAGTTGAAGTTGAGTCTTTGGTAATCGTAATTTTCTTAACAGAAGATTCATGTTTTGCTTTAGCACCAGTAGCCACTTTAGGTTTGGTGTCAGTCACCTTAGCGTCAGACCCCTTTTTTTGGTCCTTCTTCTGGAAAAGTGTCTGCTCCACATGTGTGTGTTTTTCTTGCATGTTTTCCTTGTCTTTGCTCAGCTGCAGGGTCACTGTTTCCACTTTTACCTTGACATTTCCTTTAGCAGTCTCTGAAATCGTAGAGCAGAGGTTACAATCAAAGTAGTCAAATCAAGAGAAAGAATTAGTTAGAAAAGATGTGATTCAGTTTTCACTTACTTTTATTACACTCAGCCCCTTGTGCACATTTACTACAGTCCGGACCCATGAATCCCTGTTGGCAAACACATTTCCCCTTCTGACATTCCCCATTGCCACTACAGTCACGTGGACAATTTCCAGAACATGGACCTGTGCAGAAACAAAAATACACAAATGATTTAATCTATACCTATTTCTTGCAGTAACCATAGTTGAAGTCGTATTAGGGAAGGGAATTTGGCGATCTTTAATCTTTTATCGGGTTGTGATTAATTTCACTGAGTTGATTAACAGCAACTGAAAAAAAGGAATGGTGAACATTTGGAGGCTTAACCAGCCATCTTCAAAACAAAACAACATATTTGTGATCCCTATACAGTTAGACAAAGTCTAATGTTAGCATGCTACCACATACTAGCTTCTTTTACCACTAACCTAGCTTAAGTAGCTTAATGTTAACCAAATGTAAACCTTAACTATTGTATTGAGTTACCAAACCTTATTATCAGAATTCAGCCACTTCCTACCAAGTGGCTTTTTACAAATGCTAGCTGTTGTTAAGCCATGGTAAATGGATTAAATGTTGTTTTAATATTTTCAATTTTCATTACCTTTTAAGGCTAGGATTAACCAAGAAGCTGTAAAAATATAATGAATTCTCAGAAGCAAATGTATTCAATTAAAACCTGTAACAGAGCAGTTGACACAACAGCATTTAAGCTTCCCATCCAAAGTTTGTCATTAAGTGGAAAGTGGCTGCTGAATATGGTCAATAAAGTTGTGTTCACTATAATTATCAAGTGAACTTGACAGAGTCTTACATTTGTCCTTGAGGGAGGACATCTCCATTTCCAGTCGCGCCACACGTCCTTTCAGCGCAGCCATCTCAGCATCACATCCCCCAACGCAACCACCAGGCAACAAGCTGATTTTATGAGTCATCACCAATGGAGCACCAGGCTTCAGCTTCAGCTCCTGCTCCTTGGCTTTGCTAGACTCACAGCCATTGCTTATGACCACCTTGATTGGTTGGGAAGGGGCTGGCTTTTCTTTAGTGGCAGTGGAGGTGGGAGGTTTAACTACAGCAGTCTGATTGGCAGAGGGTGTTGCCTTATCAGGCTTGCCTTTTGGGTTCTTGGCGTCGCTGGTGGAGGAGGATTTAGCTACAGCAGACAGATTGACAGAGGCTGTGGGCTTGTTTTTGGTGGTAGTAGCTCCACGGGCAAGAGCAGATTTTGTGGATGTTGACTGAACATTTTGAACTCCAGTTGGTGCAGGTTGGACTTTCTCTTTTAGGGTTTTAGCACTGCTGGCTGATGCAAGCTTGTCTTTGGTAGCCTTAGCTAAAGCAGTTTGATTGACAGAGACTGTGTGCTTTTCTGAAATCGTATTGGTGTCACTGACTATAGTGGCCTTTACTGATGCTGATGGAGTGGTTTGAATTACTGCTGGGCTGGGCTTGCTTTTTGCAGCTTGAGGGGTCGAAATAGTCTGATTGACTGTGTTTGGCTTTAGGGTTGGGCGAATGGTTTGTCTAGTTAGAGCCGCAGTGGTTTTTGGCTTTGAAAGGGTGAATACGGCATTTGGTTTGGATGCTTCACTTCCTGTTGAGTGTCTCCCCTCATTGGTTGGGGTTTGAAAGGAGGGGAATGGGGTGAGAAGGAGGAGAAGTCCTAGTGTCAACAGCATTTTGAGCCAACAACAACAGCAGCCAGAGATGGTATTGGCTTTGGTGGATCTGATGTATGTTACCGTGAAATGTCTACTTCCTCTTTACTTCTGTTACCACTTGTGGAGGGAATATGCCAGGTCTCTTCTAGAAATGGAAAAAAAAGAAAGAGCTCATTGTGAATGAGTGAAATACATATCACGTTATGCCAAATCATTTAATAACTCATCCCAAGAACGGCATTGCTGAGCACACATGGTTTTTTCAGTCTGCTTCACATTCACAAAGTTCCTATTCACACATTGACACTTCCTTGTACAACCTTCTACAGCACTTTTAGGTTTTATACATTCCTTACAATTAAGCTGGCAAGAAATGCTCAAACGAGGGACCCTTTTACTCCAATTCATATTGAAAACACACTCGGTAACTACAAAACTACCACTACACAATATTTACAGGGTAATAGTTCTCTAATTTTATTTGCTGTAATATGAGATTTAAGATGACTCAATAAGCAATAACAGTAACAATGGATGGCAGAACACGTCAAAACATTACTTAAATACACTTTTGTGACATCAAAAGTTAGTTACTTCCTGTTATTTCTCCAGCTAAATAATGTTGACAAAGTTACATTGCAAAACTTTTTTCTTAAATGTTACACTTTAAAAATGTAGAAAACCAAATAGAAGTTGGAGAATTACAACAGTGTTCCAATGAACCATACTAAATACTACTTTTTTTTACTTGCTTGGCAAAACCAAGTCAAATCTAAATGAGCTGATTTGGAACAGGAAGGGAAGGGGTGAGAAGAGCGGGAAGTCTTCAGAGTCGCCTGCAGAGACTATGCAAAGAGGTAACAGAGCGTCACTGTATGGAACTGAGGGACACTGTACCTCTTTCACTATACAGACAGTTACATAATCCACTGCAGCCACAGCTTGTAAAAACATACAGAGAAATATGTGCAACCTAAGCTTTAAATCTGGTGAAAGTCAAATCAATCATGCAGCATTCAAACACATTGGGATGCAAGCCAAATCTTATATCTTGCCTATCGGGGCACCTTGATTACTTGTCTGCAAGGATTCATTTATCTGCAGTAGTTAGCCTTCACTTATAACATCATGGAGCATCAACTTTCATGGCATTGATTTTCGTTGGACTGATAATAAACCATAAGAAAAATGTTGGTACTTTATAGAGCTTACAACCATGAGAAATTGTTAACACTATAAAAATGACACATCATGTTCTTCCTTCATTGCAATAAAAGCAGAGTAGCTGGTTAATGTGTTTATAACCACTAAAACACAGCATTAAACACCAACATGAGATTTCTGACCACATGAAGTCTCATGAAATAATTTAAAAATGTCACTAAAGAGTTAAACTTTGAGCATTATCAGCAGATACCTCTATTTCAAAAGCTAAAGGTCCAATATGACTTCACAGTTATATTGGGTGTAAAAAAAATCAAACTTACCAGAATAATGAATTAATTCTTAGCTTTATGGCTCCCTTTGTGTTGCTCCCTCCATCTGTAAAGCTGGATATGATCTGGGAGGATAGAGGTGATAGAAGGACTAGAAAGAAGGAGCGTGATAAAGTCTGCTCCTACTTAAGGACCCCCCCACTCCTCCACCACGCCTAGTGGTCCCACTCGCTCAACCACTATGGAAATATTTGTATTGGACATACTAAAAAAGAGCAGCATTTTTAAACATATTTGTCAAATATTATATCTTTTTTTATATTCCACTTTTTTCTTGTTATATTGCAATAATGAGTGATTGCTCTAACAGCTAAATTTTTGCTGGAAGATTTTTACAATTGAACTTAAAATAAATCAAGATATGACTGATTTATTTTTGATACATAAATATTGCATATTATTCTAAGTTTTTACATTTGTTATCTAATATCTGATATGATTGCACTTGTATTAAACATGCGGTCTTCCCCTGACACTTTACTGTTCATGACGAGTCATTTTTCATGTTCTTTCATCTGGCTATATGTAACTGCACATTTGCATGTTTCAGCTTTGCATTGCTGATGATGGTTATTTCAGTGTCTGCTGTATGTACGTTGACTTTTGCCAGACATTGCTAACACTTAGACACAGCATTGATTGAATAGGGCCATGGTCTGAGAATCATGATTCAGCTGGAATACATAGCATAACAGTGCAGGTATTCAGTGCTGACTCTGGGGGACAGGAACCTCTGGCTATATGAATTGGCTGTTTGTTGGAAGTAATGAGATGTAACTACGTGGGAGTTATGTAAGTGACCAAAAATCCAACCAGACTTAAGGAATGCTCTGTGAAGGCCCCGAATCCCTGACCAACTGGCCACCCACCTTCCCACCTTCCCACCTTTTGTAAACCACATGAAGACAAGTATATCAGTGCTTCTTGAGAACTCAAGAGTCTTGAGCAAACAGGACATAAGGGAGATTTTACTTTTTTTTTTTACAGGGGACAAAAACACAAAAAAGTTGATATTTCAGCTTTAAACATTTGGAAAGATAATGTAAGAGGTGCTGACATTGATTAAAATTCAGTTGTCTTTTTTGAAAACTATTGTTATTCACAAATGGTAGATTCTGTAAAGTTGTGATTCAGTAAACTGTAGTTTGAGTGTTCACACAATGGAACCCAAGGTAAACCTTTATTAATGCTAATTCTAGATTCAGCTTTAATTAATAGTCAAAAGTTGAGAAGAAACTCTTAGATCTCTACTGCTTTTAAGATTACAACTATTCTCTGTATGTCATGGTCACTCGCCTACATGAGTTTCATGGCTCGCTCTAATTGTTTAATGTACAAAGGATAAGGTCTAGTTTTCCATGTAATATAACATTTGTTAAAAAAACATGCAGAAAACATGCAAAGCTATTTTGCGTAAAAATGGTGAAACTGATTGAAGAAATAGCTTGCTCATATTCTATTACTGTAAAATGAACTGCCTCTATATATGTTACAGAGGAAGTATGTAAGAAGCCACACAGTAAGTATACATTAGATATTTTTGTTGCTAATGTGTTGAGCTAAAATATTTTTCTTGGCAAGTACACCATGTTCTGACACTGACAGAGAACAAACCTAATGTACATTAACTCAGCATCCAGGTCTTTGAGCCGAGAATCATGATTCAGCTGTAAGATGTAACAGCTGATGCTGCACACTCAGATAGTCTAATTGCTCTAAAACGTATGTTGAACACAGATAAGATAAGATAATCCTTTATTTATCCCACAATGGGGAAATTTACAATGTGTAATGAATAACTGTTATGAGGCAAAATCTTAGCTTCATTAAAAAAACATACCTCAAAGTCCAAATATGAATGCCTACCAATTACTTGGTGCACCTATCCAAAGACAGTTGACTTGCATGCATGCCCAGAATAATATACATTATCCAATTATCGTGCAATATATTTTTATTGCTCATAATTGTGGACAAAATGAACTCAAGAAATAAGTCACAATCATTACCATCCGGTGAAAGCTTCTACAAAAGACCTTTTGCACAGCAGGTATTTTAACTTCTCACTTTATCAAAGCATGTGTGCTACTAGTCAATTTTGTGATGGGATCCATGCTTGTGTTTCAGAAGGTCATGGCAGTCACGATCAGCAAGGATGAAAACTACCAGATCACTTAAACTGGCACAGCTTAACACACGGTCATCAAAATGTCTACTGCGAAGCTTGCACATTCTAATAACAGACAAAGTCACCTCTATATTGAGATAAAATATCAACTGTAATTGACAGCAAATTGTGTACCAATGAGTGGGTGGTCCCACTCCATCAGTGCCTCCATCTGCTGGCAGCCTCCAGAAGAGCTCCGCCTTTGCTTTTATCCTTTCTGCACCTTAGACCACCCTCAAACCCTTGACCTCGTGTTGGCCTTTGGAAAGAGCTTAAAAACGAAGGCTACTGCACACCTAACATAACACACCTGGCCATATACGAGCATATTTCCAAATCCCCCAATTCCTACTTTCAGAGTTGATATTGAGGCATATTTTGTTTTTGTTTACCTGAGCATCTTATATGTTGTATGTGTATTCAGTCAATATATATTGTGGATATGTAAAATACATATCTACAGTATCATTCAATCACCTAAAAGAGAGCCTGTGCACTATCACTTCTACTTCTACTAATTGACTTCTCTTGATTGATTGTGACTCTAAACATAAGCACAACTCCACACTGCTTAGTCATGACACACCATTGATTACTTAAGAAAGCTTCAGTAAAAGAGATCACTTTTTGAATGTGATGTTGCTGTTGGCTGCTAATGGTGCACTTAAGTAATCCCAAAATGAAAAAGTGTGTGATTCAAATTTAATGAAATGTCTAATGGCAGAGGCTGAAACAGTGCAGGCATTGATCTGGCTGTGATTGAAGTGATGGTCAGTACTCCCATGTTGCTTACATTGGGCCTAGCCTCAGAGATTAGAATAATATGAGCACATAAGCCCTCACTTGTTCCTCTCCTCTCCGCCCATGCCCCCCTGTCTCCTGCACTGCCCCCTCCCACTGCCCCTCGTTCTCTCCCATTACTGCTCCCTGCATCACCTAAAAAAAACAAAAAACTTGTTTTGTATTATATAATTGCACTAAGCATCTTCTGTAGCATGTTGCTAAGCACATTTGAGGACAATGAGATAATTATTGATTATAAACTGATATTATTCTACAATGTAATGAAAGTGGCAATGACATATCACTATATTTCTCTACCAGGGGCAAGTAAACAAGTCTTATGTGCAGACTGTAACTGTCACTTTATGTGTATGCACTGTGCTAACCCTAAAACCAACCCTCCCTTTCCTCATCTTGCAGATGCTTAGTAAAAAGGGGAGGGAAACTTTGAGGGGGGCTTGAGTCAAGCACAGAGACCCCTCTTAGGCCTTTCACTGCCAGTAAAAGAAAAAAAAACCCTGAAAAATAAATATATATTCAGCAGGAAAGCTAAATCAAACCAGTTCCCCAAACAGAATCACACTCTTTGGAAAGATATGAAAGAGAAAATGTTTGTTTGTGCATGTACTTATTTTTTCAATTTCTGTTAAGTTCCATTTCAAATCATTGTTGCAACACATATACACAGTAAATGCTCAGAGCAATCAAACAGATACAGCGACATTTGCTTAACAACAGTGATGTTTTTTTTAATTTTTATAACACATTTAACTGTATGGGACAAAGAGAAATGGTAAAGGGTAACATTATGTGTTGGATTATTTTAAACTTTCTGTGATTGATCGATTCTTCCACCTAGCAGGCAGTAACTCTCAGTCATCATGGATGGTCTTACACAATGCTTACATGACTCTGGTTAGATGTATAATGAACAGTAAGAAAAAAAAGCTCTCTGATTTCTGTGCAGCTCACAGGAAGCTGCTGTAACAGAGCTACACTAAACAGAAAAATAACGTTTTAATAGAACACATTGGTTTGACAGGGCTCTTCACTGTCTGCAGCCATCTATCTTGTACCTCTGTGTGAATGTATGGAACTCTCTGCAAGCACCTCTGTGTGCACTTTTGTTACATTCTTCCGCTGAGGGCTCTCTTTCAACCCAGGTGTTTGCTTCCAGTAAGTATTGCATCCTACAAAGAAATGGAGAGCGAGTTTAATTCCAATCAGTCAGTGTGAAGTTATTAAGGTTAAGGTTAAGGATTCTTTATAATTCATACTGTTATGAATAGTCTAGCAAAACTTACTTGTTATTTGAGTCGGTTGTGGGGCCATCTTTGCCCATTATCAGATACTGTTTTCCCAAATCCAGCTGTCCTTTACACTGACGTCTCTTAGCAAACACTCGAATTGAATTCCTGTCTACAAAAGTATCTCCATCTAGCAGACAGATGATTGTCATCATAGTTTTAATATGTCTTGCAACAAAAGTGTAGTGACATAAATAGCCTCCGCGTTTAAACATCACTTAAGTTTTAGGGTTTTAATGTACTTACGTGATTTGAGTTCCTCGATTATGTTCGTTCTGTAGAGCTCAAAGTTACTCTTCATGGAAACGTTGAGGACTTCAACCATGTATGCTTAAAAAAAAGAGGAAAATTCACTTAAAAATTCATTTGTATAACGTGTCCATAATGTCACTTGTAAAGTAAAGATGTAAGACTTTTTAGAATCAAGTTTATATCCTTTCTGGTGTGCACTACTGACCATAATCAACGGTAGGAAAGAAGCAAGCGTGCATTAAACGCCTGTTCTCTTTCTTGTTTCTTCGTTCTGATATGAATGTGTTTTGTATTTTATGACAAGGTCCTAAAGAAAAGAAGAACAATGACATTTTAATGATGTACACATATTATCTACATTAATTCATCATTCAGTTCTTCATAGGGATGTTTTTTTTTTATCAGCATGGCTCTTTAGAGTAATGGCCTACTCTCTGCACACTGGCACACGTCCTCTGAACACAGTTTAGAGATCAGCTTGCTTCTCTGGGGAGCCGAGTAGAACACATTACACTTTACATCTGAAAAGATAGCACAAACATTGTAAATTGTTGGTTAATGAAACAAAGATGTCCTCTCTATCCTGAAAAAAAAAGCTGAAAATGTCAAATAAAAAGCTTACTTGGTTCATAGTAATCATAGAACACAGCGGGAGCAGGCTGGAGAAGGCCGATTGGGACTCTCTGTATAGCGTCAAAGGTAATACATTCAATCCTATCAAAGAGCTGGAGGGTGAGAAGAAATCTTTAGTATGGGATGCCCATCTTATTATCTTTGTATTTTAATAGATCACAGCCTTACCTCATTGAAATATATCAGGACCCTTCCATAGGAGACCTCATAATGTGAAATGTATCGTTCAGGTTCCTCTTTAAGCTGAGAAGACAAGAAATACACTTTTTGATTTTCTTGTGTAAAATTTCTATGTAACATGTTTCTTAAGGTGTGTTGGATGTCCACTAATATTGCAAATACCAGGACTTTCACTCACTGCAAATATGAAGAACCAGCCAGGGGAAAATCAGAACAACAGTGTATTCAAAACCCTTTGTGAGTGCAGTTGAGAACAAAACAGTGGTTTCAATTTTCACAAAACTGTGTGATTTGAAGAAACATCTCTGGAAAGTGGTGATGAAGAGATTGGCACCACACTCATGTCTGTACGCTAAAAATAAAGGCTAACTAAGCTCAGGTCAAAAAAAAAAAACTGGAACTAGCCTGGCCCAGCCTGCAGGCAAATATCCATTGCAAGCAGACCATTGTTAAGAAGAACAGTAAAAAGCAGACATTAGAAAAAAGTCTGCTGATTATTAGTTGGTTAGTTTACTGTTAGGAAAGGAGAGAGGAAAGGACAACAGCAGAAAAAAAGAAGTGAAGAGATGTAAAAACGGCTCTGACTGAGAAATCAAAGAGAGCACATGAAGGCAACAGGTAATGGATCATGGTATGCGATACAGTGGTGTTGAATAGAAGGGAAAATGTCAACAGATTGACAATGTTGGGGCATAAAAACTCAGTCAGGTGCTGGACTGATTAATGTTGATCTGTTCCCTCTGTCTCACTTTACTGTCTGTCAGGGGCGTGTCCAGAGGAGTGACATGGGCCTCCCTCGAAATCCGATTGGCCACCCCAAAACTATGAACGGCTGTTTGCCTTGTCAGAGGTGGGACTTATACATGTCAACTACTCCGGCTACTGTTTCAGCAGGTAGTCGTTTTCGTAGAATATTCTCTTTTGTTAGTACATTTTTCACACGACAGATGCACAGAAAAGGAATGAAATATAATGTAATATAATATTTTTTTTAAATTGCAGGCACACTCTGTGCACTGTCGGGGCCAGTAACTTCCTGCAGTCCATGCTGATTTGCCAGGTAACAAATATGTGGTTATCTTTTCATTTTAAAGATAAAATAAGGAGCCCAGAAAAGAGACTTCTCCTCTTTCTACTGATTGTGACTATGAGAAAGTGGTGTAACAAAGACCTACTTACTATGTCTAGGTCCTCAGTTTCAACCTCAAATCCACTGAGAAGTGTGATGTCAGCAATGGCCATTCCTGTGAGATTACGATGCAGACTGTGACTATGTAAAATGAAGAAAAGACAAAAAACAGATTAAATCTAAGGATTTGTTGTATTTTAAGCAGAGATTCATAAAAAGTTGGAGACAAAGTGGTTTTAATGTCACTGAACTAACCTGACACAGACTCTGTAAGTAAGAGTGTCTTCTGATTTTGAATTATCTCTCCTGTTTTTGGTCTGAACATCAAACCACTCAATCTCTGATTGAGGAATTGGCACCTCCTTGTCCTCGTTGTTTCCATAGTCCTCGTAGTAGTCATAATTTTCAATGACCTTAGCTGGAGACATAGAGGTGAATGTACCTTTGTTGCTTTTATTAGCTTTACATGTGGTTGTGATTTGTTATCAGTAACAAAAGCTCACCAGTATACTTCACTTTTCCTTCTACTGTGACTGTGATAGAGACTTGTTTACACTCATCCTTGGGCTCCAGTAGATGATATGCTTTCACAACCTATAAGCAGATTCAAAGTAAACTACAGCTCTTTTTCAGCATAAAAAACTACAGTAATCAAAGTTACCTTAAGTTTGGTTGTCCCTTTTCCTGTTAACTCCACATTAATGTTTTGCCCTGCAAGTTTCTTCGACAATCAACGAGAAAATTACAAGTAATGTAAGGATGATGTCAATTTTTGGAAATGTGCATTCAAGGGTAAAGCTGGAAATGTTCAATGATACCTTAAGGTCTTTTTCCACTTTGTCCTTCTTGTTTTCTAGTTGAAGCTTTAAAATATCTCTCTTTCCTGGAGATGTGAACACTGCATTTAGACTTGCTTCAGGAGTGACAGGCCTCTTTAGCTCATACTCTGCCAGGGCTTCCAGTGCCATGACCGTATCCTAGACATGACAAAAAACATCTCAACTCTGATGGTTTGTCTGGACTGTTTGATGTGGGACCATGCAGGGGATACAGATCCCAAAGCAGTGATGTTTCAGGTTTAAACACTTCTCAATTCAGCATCTGAATAACCTGTGTTGATCTGAAGCCTCCATCACTGTTTTCTTGGGTGGTTAACCAGCAGGCTGCTTTGTTGGCCCACTCGCCTTTCCCAAGTTCCACTGCAGCAAGAAGGGCATAGGCTGTGGTCTCTATTGTGATGGCATCTGCATTAACTTTATTCTTCGGGCTGGGATTGGTTGTCCACAGATAACACCCATTCTCTCCTGATAATTACCAAACAGATATAATAAAAATCCCAAAAAGTCAAAAGAGAGAGTAAAATAAGTGATATATAAGTATTTGGATTAGTGAACTCACTATTTTGAATTTTCTGTGATCTATATTTCACATTTGGGTTAAACATTCCATATCGATTTTCACATCAATTTCCCAGTTTAGGAAAAATCCAAAGTCTGTCTGTCTGTCTGTCCATCCATTCATCCATTCATCCATCCATCCAACAAACCAATCAACTAACCAACAATCCAATCAACCAACCATCTCTCTCAAACCATTTGTTTTGATTGGACATGCCTTCAGTAGCGAGATCTTGAAGTTTTGTCCAGATAGATGAATGGTCTGTTCCTGATGGAAGGCAAACTGCGAGGCAGTAGACTGTAATGGCAACAGCATATGGATGCTGAAGCTCCTCAAGGTGTGACAGGAGATATAATGTTGAACTTGAAATACTTGCCTCCTGGGAAGTAGGAGAACATTAGTCAATACTCCTGAGTGTAATATTAGTTTGCAGAATTTATACACTTCATATAAGAAAAAGAACAATTACAAGGACCTCGTCAATGAACGAGCCAATGAATAGGCACATTCAGACCCTAAATTTCTGGGATCCCTCATTCAACATGTGCAAAGTTTTCAAGGCCACTGCAAACTGTTTTCTCTAGTTCCTGTGGTCAGGATCTTGAGGGGTTTAAGTCACTCACCTGTGGTTGTGAAGAGGACTGGTGAAAGGACTGGTTTGGGTGGGAGATATAAAAAATGTACCTGCTGACTGCCTGCTAACCATTGACACTCATGCTCACTGCTCTTTGACGCTCAATGCTTAAATGCAGACAAGTAGCACGCTCAGTGTTCTCCATTGTAGCAATTTAGTTCTAGCTCATAGCATGCTAACATTCTCTTATTATGCAGAAACACAGGTTGCAGGTAGACATAATTCATTTTTCAGGTATTTGGACAACAAAGTGTATCTTGTGTCTCCTACAATTCACCTAGCAGACACTTTAATTCTAAAGAAAAACACATCAGAGAGAAAGTACAACACAAGCAAGGACCTAGAAACGAGGAAACAACGTCAGTAAGTGCATGAAGTTGATCCAATACATTTTGAGATATTTCAAACCAAACCAGAATGTCGGTTTAACCAATACTGACACCCCAAAAGTCCATTGATGGAAGTCTTTATATTATCTTACCGCATTATTTTTTCCTTCAGGATTTAGAAATGGAAGGGACCGTTGCAGTGCGAGCGCTACGAAAGCTGTGATGGACATGGCTCGATCTGCGCCTTTCTACACGAATGACAGACATGAATGCATTCAATTAACCACTTACTTTTAATAAGTTTGCATGTTGTAAGATGTCTGTCGTAGCCTAGAGCTTACCAGAACTCCTCTGTGTAGCACTTGATGCTGGTCAGTGAATGAACCATCACCCCACTGCGCTGATAGCAAGAATCTGACTGGATGTCTGATCTCTTCTTCTGGTACAAACCTTGCCCTCCTGCCCTGCAGCCCATAAGTCTCTGCCTGACGTTGTGCAATAAACGATAGCAACTTCACTACAAGGGCAGTGACCCTGAGGACATGAATGGGAAAATAAGATGAAGAATGGAAGGAAACAATTATTTCAAATTTGAGATAAGGGAAATGAGGAAATTGTATTTTCTGTGTGACAGTAGATGTAACTACCTTAACTCCAAAATCAATAGCAGCATGACACATGCACTCACCAATTACTTTGTGGCACAGAGCGGAATGATGAATAAGATCCATCGACTTTGTTCTTGAAATTTATAATGTTTACATGACCTAGCACAAGAAGTTAAAAAACAATGAAAGTATATTGTGCTATTATTGACCTGTTGAAGAATCAAACAAAATATCCAACAAAACTTGTAAGAACTACCCAGGGCAGGTCAGAAAACTAAAATGAATATCATTATATAGGGCTTTTTTTTCCTCATACCATATTTATTTATGATACTTTCCTGCCTGGTACTTAGCTTCTCAGCTTATAAATACTAGCAAATACCATATGTCAAAAGTCTAATGGTCACCAAAAAAAAGCTCAATCGCCTTCTTCACTCTATGTGTGTTATGTGTTTAGTGGAAGAAGAGAGGCCCGCACACTTGCTTAAATGCCACAAAAAAGTTTTAATTCATCACAACGTTTCAACCAGAGGTCTTCTTCAGGTGATAAAATGTAAAAATGATCACCTGAAGAAGACCTTTGGTTTAAACATTGTGATGAGCAATTGTGCATGCCTAGCTTCTTCCACAGTCTGCTGATTTTCGCACTGCCCTGCACCAATTTGATGTGCGTATAACTATCTCCTATTTCTTAATGTGTTCAGTCACAAAAAAACAGGGTTAACAAATGCGTAAAACATTTCTGCTTGATGTGCACCTACCCTGCTCAACTTCATTCAGGGCTTTATCTCTGGCACCAGCAGGCAGTTCAAACCACTGCTCACTGAGGTCAAGGTAGCGGATGGCTGAAACTGTAGGAGCAAGTTTTCCCATTGTCTGTTCTAAACAGCCTTTAGGCAACCTGATCAATTTGGCAACTTTCTCAGGAGAAAGTAGGTTCTTTGCCTGTACACTGCCAAATCCATCTCCTGTCAGATATTAGCAAATATTATTATTATTGTTAAGCCAGTGCTATAATAAAGGTTTGAAAATTTAATATCTGCATCTAAAAACACATACCTTCCACAGAAATGAATATATTTGAGCTGGAGTCAGGGACTGTTTCACCTGGTAAAGATCCATCAATAGTGAAAGTCTCTGTGCTCTTGCCTGTCAGGATGAGGAAGGCAGAAGGTGGATCATTAAAGCATATGTAAAGTAAAGTAAAAAGTAAAAAAGATTATACATCAACCATAGAACAAGCAGCAACCACTATGTAGACATTTTGAAACAACTTACCATCTAAGTTAATCAGTTTGGTTTCTTCTATTCTCGTTTCCATTCCTTCTGTCTACATATGAGAAAATATCAGTGTCCCTTGTGTTACCCACTTATACAGGTGGACAAAGCATGTTGATTTGAGTTAACATTACTTAATTTTGTTAATAATTTATTAATAATTTGTGGTTATGAAAAATTGTCACATACAGTATGAGAACTCATGATTTACTTAGGCACTATTCAAACATGACTTCCAATTAGTTATATCCAAATGTAAGTAAGTCAGGCCTCTATTGTAAAAAAAAAAGTTAAATTAAATCATCTGTCCTCACCAACACATTCAAAGTCTTCTCAATTGCATCCAATCCATATTCATTTTCAATATCATAGATACGTATTTTGATGGGTATTGAGCCGGTAACCATGGGGACAGCAGAGAATGACACAAACTGGGAGGACTCTGGATTCAAAGTGATGTTAACAAAGGATGTGGTGGTGGCCGAGCCAGGGGAACAAAGCCCGTCAGTTTGCTCCATATGAACTGCCAGCTAAAGAGAAAAAACACATTTTTAAACAATATTTGAATCATGCAGTTGTTTGTAACAGTGTGAGGTTATTTGTACCTGTAGTGTCTGTTGGCCATAGTTGTAGATGACAGGTGAAATAGAGAGTTGCTCATATTTTTTCACTGAGTAAGGCAGTCTCAGGGACACGAATACCTCCTGAAATGCTCTGACCTCAGACGGTTTTACTACACAGAAACCTGAAAAACAAAAAAAAGGTAATAATCTACAAGTTTTAATAAAAAACGTTTCAGTTAGATACCCATGATGCATTTGTGAAGAGGAAATCTTTTATTACCAGTGGCTGCAGACAGAGTGATGACCTGAATCTCCCATGTAGTGATGGAATCTGGTAGAGCTATAACATAGCTAAGGATTTCAATTAATTCATTAATTTTAAAATGTGTCCGGCAAAAGCTCTGTTTATGTTTATGACAAATAAGACTGAAGGTCGTCACTTTGGATAAAATCGTCTGCTAAGTGAATTGTAGAATAAAGGTAATGTAGACAGGGAAATTGCCATTGCCAGAAATTGCCATTGCCAGTATTAGACCCTACAATCATTTAATAAAGGTTGATATGTGTATAAGTGGCTGTATCACAGTGGAAAAGAAAATATTGCATAAAAACTATCTCAAACTGCTTACCTTTCTTTGCCATTTACATCAAATTCTTTGAAGTCAAAGCTTGGGGGGAAAAGTCTTCGAATGTTACGACCAGCATTTTCCAAGAAGTACTGTTCAATATCTTCTATTGTTGCAGCTTAAAATAAAAAAATGAAAGTAGTGTAATTACACTCTGTTAAAACTGTGCTAGATGTATCAAATGCTATCTACTCTATAATTGTAGTAAGTTAAATGTCCACATAAAAAATGTAATCTCACTCCTTCCAAGTTCTTTCCAGGCATCTTCTCGTGTCTTTTTCTGTCTCAGACGTTCTCCTTCAAGGCAGCATTTTAAAAATGCTTCTGCACATAAAGGATTTGCTTCGACCAGAGAGACTCTCCTCACTCTCTCCTCACAAGTTTTTCTCATTGGGATTAGAGAAAAGCCATGAACACAACAGCCTTTTAACTTTTCGTCTGTAAAGTTAGATCCTGAAAATGAAAACAAGATGATGGTAGACGACTTTTGTGCATATTCTAACCAGATGTATCTTACATTTAGTTAGACATTTGTTGCATGCATAGTATGAATATTATCTTACTTAAAGTTGTAATTTCCTGTTCAAGGTCCACAGCACGTCTTTGTCGTGTGGATCGTGAATTACAGCCAAAACCTTTGAAAGTGTATCGTCATTAAAACTTAGCATGTGCTTAGTTTGTGGAGAGATGTAAGTACAGCAGGAGCAATAGATTCATTTTGAATATGTCAATGTGAGTGTTTTCCTAGTCTAGACCAACATATGGGTGTCTCAGTAGGCAAGAAATGTGACAAAAAGGACACTGCAAAGGTCACAATGTAATGTTTACCATGTATCTCAGATGGCAGGCCAAGCAATTTGCCTTTATGATAATGCAACGCGTAGGCTTGGGCGATAAATGGATAACGATTATTATCGCAATACAAAAAATGGCCGGGATATAATTATCACAATACTATATTCCTCAATATAAATATAACAAATGTTTGATAGATTTAAACCTATAATTACACCAGAAGACAGTTGAGGCTGGTGACACCACAAACCTTTTCCACCATTTGAAGCCATATAACCTACATTAGAACATACCGAAGGAAACGTCCCAAACGAGTGCTAGTGGACCCTCAGCAAGCACCGGGCCAGTAAACTGTGTTACTCCGCCACAGCTACTTGTCATATTATCATTTTCCAGCACCGTGCACTGTGCTTATGACACGGAAATGTTCCTCTGTTCAAGTATAGTTGATCATGTTCAGACAATAAAGAATAATTAAACCACAATTAACCTTCTGATTTCTTCAACTTTCACTCAGAAGCAAATATCAGACCTTAAATTTAAAAGAACTAATGATTTGACATTAGTTGTGGTAATTATGATCTGTTATAACATTTTTTAATGTTATAACCTTTTATGTCATATCGCCCAGGCCTAATGCAATGTGTAATTGGCCGTATTCATGGTATAAATGAGTGGAGAACATGCTAGGGAGCAGAAAAGAGTAGGAAGCAGCTGCCGCGCACTGGTCTATGGCTAAAAACGTCATCACCCCTGCCCGTTTGCTTGTGCTGAGTAATCCAATACTTCTTACAGAAATATGCGATGGGGTGGCAGGAAAAACTCTGGATAAAGTCAGGAGGAAAAATTCAGCAGTTTGGGTATACACATGCAGCTCATCCCACCAATTTCAAGAAATGTTCAGGGTTATTTCGCATGTGTGAATATCCCTTCTCTTTATTATATAATTTGTATTCATTAAGATGAAGAAAACATGTTTTGTCTTACTCATTCTCCACTTTGACTGTGAGTTAGATACAAATGAGAGTCCAGCATCTGTTAGCACTGAAGCAGGGTCAGATCCTCCCGTGTAGGAGCAGCCAAGGTCATATGACTGCATAGTTGAAAATACCTGTAAGGTAGGAACAGGAATACATGTGTTATATAAAAACATGAGTTTGTTCTAAGACATGGTAAAAGTGTGAACGTCTTACCTGTTTGGCTGTGAGTCTATTGTCAGTTTTGAGAGCGTAAATGGCCTTATCAACGGCCAGCAGAGCCACTTTGGCTTTTTGACCATCTAAATCAAATTCAAGCCTAGCCTGTTGTCGAGGTTTAAACGGTCCTTTGGGTACTACCTAATTGGGTTAGAGTCACACATTAGATTTTCAAAAGCACTTCAGACAACAAAACAAAACATATAATATAATAAAATATTTATATAGTAATTGAAAATAACCTAAAATAAACCAACATATCTAATGTGTGTCGACAAGAAATGGTTAATGGCACGTAACAGCAGTATTTTTCTTTAAATTCAAAGTTTAAAGCATTCTTATGAAACCAGATCATCCAACTCAAACACACACTCCTCTAACAGACACAAAATTCTGTCTATTTACTCTCTCGCGCTTATCTGTGCTGTTTACTCACCTTGACCTTTATCTCACATTCATCTCCGACATCAACCCACACCGAATCAGCAATGATGTTACCATGCTGATCATAGAAGTAGCCAATCAGTCGGAACGATGGCACCATCTCAGTTGTTATCGGCAGGTGGACTTTAACAAAAGTACCAAATTTGAGAGAATCCTGTTTTATTAGCATCCCACGGCTTAAGATCTACAACACAGTTTTAAAAAAAGTTTGAATATAAAAGTGTTTTGCTTTTCTTTGTAAAAAAAAGATGGTCCATGCATTTTGTTATGACTCACCATATAGTACATAAAGCCATTATTTGGGCCATTGACTGCATTTATATTTACAGTGAGTAACTCCCCCACAGAGTATAACCTATTGGTAAAACTCAGGTAAAGGTAGCTGTTGCTTGGAGATGAGGCTTTTTGTATTTCTTTCCGTTGTTGCAGACCATCTGCAGACACCTAACGCAAATGGAATTCATACAGTTAATCTGAAATTAAGGAAAATACAGTGCTTTATCAATGTTATAAACACATTTAACTTTTAAGATGTTCAAGGACAATTACTTGCACAGTAATCTGAGCGTCAGTGTTAATATTAAACACAGGAAACACTGCCCCCTCCTGGTTAGTTGTGCCTTCCCAATGCTCTGTGGATGATACTTCAATCCTTACAGGCACACCAGCTGCTGGGGAGCCATCAGGGAGACGTAAGACAGCCTTGAATAAAAACAAACAAATGATGTAATATATATCATAAATTATAAGTACTTAGCTATGCACCCATATTTGGTTCATACCACCACATCTAGTGGATATCCAGGGATGAAATATGAACGTGTTCGAGAGAGATCAATGGAGTACTTCCGGGACATGATAGGAAGGTAAACTTCAGCCTCTTGTATTTCACCACCTGGACCAAATAATAAAAATAAAATCTGTGATGCAATGAAAATCACAAAGATATTCCCAATACTATCTTTCTTAAAACCTCTCAAATATGGGATATTTCAAAGGGGTAGTCCAAGCATTTTGGGATTAAATTATTAGTTTTACTAGTATGTCTACTAGTAGTAGTAGTAGTAGTAGATACAGCCATAGTAATAGTTACAGTAGAGTTAGAGGGGGCAACAGAAGAATGTTATTATTTTCAGAATATCAGACCCTCTGTGATGCTAATCTGCCAGTTAAATTCAATAATTTGTTTGACAAGGGGTCATCCATTCTTCAAACAGTAATACAAAAAATATAATCAGGAAACATAGTGAAGAGTAAACATATTATTTCGTGTCAATTAGTTCTTTGACACGTAGCTGACTCTGATATTGGTCTATTGTGACAGAGTTCTCTTTACTTTGTATGTTAGTGACAAACACTCCCAGGTAGAGTTGTGATCCTGTGTTCTGTAATCCAGAGAGGGTTAGGTTTTGTTTTTGCAGTGTCACATGTAAGTCTGCCATCAGGAGCGAAGCTGTTGTGGGCACAGTTCCATTCTGGACCTGCAGGAAAAGATAGATTGTTTTAATAAGTGGTTCAATATGTGATCTGATCTCATGTGTTTAAATGAGCCATATTATAAATGTAAAATAGATATGTTTCCTCACTGAACCAGTCAATTCCAGCCCCCTGAGAAAGACAGGCTTCCCTTTTTGGCCATTTCTTCTATTTTTTTCCACCACACCAAACTGGCAATGGTAAGCCCCTCTAACTTGCTCACCATGTGAATACCTAGAAAAATCATTCAAAATGGCAAAAAGGGACAAAAAAATAAAGTCTTTAAGGAATTATATCCGACAAGGTGTCCATTAAAAGCCAGGAATGGACTGTGTGACACCTGTTTGTGTAAATAGTGTAAGCTAATGCTAACAGTTGGCCGCCTGTAATCCTAACAGCATTTCTAGCTCTACTCCAAAAGTCAACGAATTAGCTGGGTTTTTTTCGACTTATTTTTGTTCCGTTGGCAGAAAGCATTAACGAAAGTAGCCAGAGCAGAAAAACTTGACAGTGAAGTAGGTTAAATGAATCAATACTTACTTGGCTGAGATGGTGAAGTTTAAGTATTCAGCGTTCAACAAAATAAAGCTCTGCTCCAGTCCAATGTTGACCTCAAAACTTGGTAAAACTAGGAAGGGCAACAAGAAGGTGTTCTAAAGAAGATATTTAAACTGTGAGGAAAAACGAAGCAAAATATGTTAAATTGAATTAGCTCACCAAATTTTTCGACTTTGAACTCTCTGGTAGCGGCATTTTCTTTATCTCCTTCAAAGTGTGCTGTTATCTTCCATGTTCCCAATCTTTATCAAAAAAAACAAACAAACACATGGGTTACCTCAAAGTTATTCCACTGTGTTGGATCCAGTTGATTGTAAGTCTGTTATATAACATACTTCGAGACATCAGGTATCTGGATTTTGCCTTGGATTATTCCTCCTTTTGCAGTTATAAGAGAATTAATTATTCTGTTTCCAGCTGCATTCTATTATTACACAAAAAACATGAATCATGAAATTAAACAAAGGAGGCTACTACTGTATCTTTTATATCTTATTTGTGACTAAATATGGACTCACAAATACTGATAACTGGAACGTTTCTTCATTAGGTCTGAGTGTCTGGTCAAGAGTGAATATTCTGTACCTCACTAAAGAGAAGGACAAAAAACAATTGTTTTCAGTCTTAGTGGATGCTGAATACTTCACATTGTTTTACAATGTATTCACAGTTGTTGATTTTTACCTGTCTGTGTTGGGTTGTAGACTGGCTGATGGGTCTGAATGAAGATGTAGCCCCTGTGTTTTGATATCAAGACCCTTGTGGACTTCCTGCCACTGAAGGATGGACTCTCTGCTATAAGGTTAAAGTAGGGTTGTTTACTACGTTGAAGGGGAAGTCTTGAAAAAATCTCACGGTCTATCTGTAAGACAAAAGTAATACGTTTGATTAATGACATGCAAGCTCCATCAAATTGTTGTAGGCTATTATTTACATGTATATGAGTTGGGAAGTTTCTCTTACCATGAGCTCAACTGTTTCGATCTTTCCTTCCACTGTGCAAGTGGCAGTTTTCCTCTCAGACAACACAGTATTGGAAGTCTCATGCTCCAGGTAGAGAGTAACCTCATTATTAAGATGAGACCGTCCCATCTGGACAAACACTTTCTCCTTAACACCCACATGAAACACTCCAGGGCCTGAGATAAAAAATCTGTGCACAAATGTAACAAAACAGCATTTACATTTATATAGAGTATCTTTTATTCATATTATTAGAATTCATTGACTCCTATGCTAGAAGAAAAGCACACACACTACTGCATTCTATATTCAATTATCATAAAATGATAATCAAAATAATTAAATATATATCAATTGTTATTGTGATGGTCTTGAAAGAAAGAAAGCATATTTCAACCAACATGTAAAATGGCAATACATCACATTTTATACATTCCACTCATGCAGCTATTCTACAGTTACCCGTTGTCCGGCGAACACTGGGATTCCATGGTCAAGACCAGGAACAGTATGGAAAATATGTAGCACTCCATGGTGCAGCTCCTTTCTTTCTGCCTGCTCGAACACGGACTCTTTATTAGGTTTTGTTATTCAACCACCCCTGTATTTCACAATCTTGGGATCTTTTAGTGCCCTCCCTCATTCCTGTTTTTGTTTTTTTGTTTTTTTACCTCCAAGACAACTTTGAAATATCATTCCTCAGACCTAAACTGAGATAATCATCATATAGTTCAGTCTGCAGGCTGAACTGTATACGACATAACATTTAAACTAATGTGTACAAGTTTTGTGGTCATTTCTACACAACAACAAAAAACCCAATAAGATTTAGACAGATGAATTTAATGCAGATCAGATCATAACGGACTAAGAGATGTATTGTATATCTGCTTCTGTTGTGTTATATTTTATGAAACTTAATTTTATATCACTGCTTGGTTTGCAACATAGGATGTGTTTGTTTTTGTTTCACAATGTGTAACTAAGCCCTCATTGGTTCCTGCAGGACCGGCAAATTTCCCCCAAATCATGTGATTTACAAGAAATCAAGTTTAGGCTCACTGGGTTTGGGTTGGAGTGAGGGCTGTTGACTCTCGAACACATGGTTCAGGAAAGCACAGCTCAAGTATCTCTCAAATGAATAAATCAATTCTTTCAGCTAAGTGACTCAGGATTTTGGTTAGATTATCAACAGTAATTTGAGCTTCTTATCGTACACATAAAAAAAATGTATGCAGCTCTTTCATCTCCCTTCTTACTTTACGATCCCTGTCATGCATGTGTTCACCAGAAAATATATTGCATGCCAAAAACTGCCAAACTATGTTCAGATCTGGAAAGATGGAAAAGTAGTGAGATTAGTGACTAAGACAGAGATTTTCTTTTTCTAACCATGTGATCCAGCAAGCAACAGATACACAGAGGCAAGATTGGAAACATGTTTTTTTTGCATTGCAGTTTATTTTAATATGCAATAAGAGTTACAAAAAACTCCAAGTGAAGCAGGATACAAGAATAACAATTAAAATAATAATAATAATGATCATAATAATAAATTCATTTATACAGCACTTTGTTTTGCTTTGTTCTTATGTAAAACTCACTGGTAGTGAATGGAGACAAGGACAGGTGTAATGTGGTCACATCTCTGGCTATGCGTTGAAAGCCTTGCATGTTTTGATTACTGCCCTCAACAATATACAATCAACATTAAATGGATTGGCCCTCTTTAATAGTATACAGTATGAAATGACTGTTAAATTGTTTGTTTCATTTATAACATGGTTTTAATGTCCAATTTATATTTTGTATTAAACACCTGGATCATCAACATCAGGCTCAGAATTGCTCAGAAAACTGTAAAATATTGGCTCCTGTAAATTAACCACCTAACTAACTAGCATCTAAACTCATCTAGAAAGATATCTAGATATTTGCACACAAAAAAAAATGGGTCATGCACTGGTGTAATTCGAAGACATATTTGACGCATGAAAGAAGCATCTCTATCAGCCTTCACGGTGTAAGTGGCCCTGTGCCATGTCATCACCTCAATCATGAACAATCTGATTCTTCCTGCATAGAGACAGATACTAGTAATCTTTTTTTTAATAAAAACGAAAGGAACTGATACAAGTGGGAACCTTTCATGTTTCTTATATATACTGTAATGTAATAATGAAACACATTACCTTTTTTTTTTTTTTTAAGTGAACATTTTAGCATCCTGCTGCAGCCTTGCCAAGGTGGAAGGATCGCCTACAAGACGGAACTCAGGGAAATCCTTTGAATACTTTGAGTTGAGAAACCTTTATTTACTTAGTGCTTATATCACCAAAGCCACTTCAATTTTAGCATTTAAAAATATTTTTAACAGATCAATATATTCACCTTCAACAAATAGTTTAAAATCCAGCATGCAAAGTCAGACTGTGTTGACTGATTGTCTATTAAATCAACTCCCATGTGACCTCTCTTTTATCACAGTGAGAACTAAGAGGGAGGAAACGGGAGACTGGGGCAAGATGTCCATCCACAACTCCTGGACTGGAGAAGTTACACAAGAATTGCGTTTGGACAATCAACACCAGACTCCCTGTCAAACGTGGGATGAGGAGCAATTTCATCTTGCAGAAGTCAAACCTGCAGTGGATGGATGTTTTGAAAAAAAAAAAAAAAAAAAAATCACAATCAAAGAATTTAAACAGTTACAGATATATCTATCACAAATATATCTTAAAGGTAGTTGCTGTTTTTTTTAGCTAGAAGAGTAAGAAAGTAAACTATCAAATGAAGTCGACTTCACTCTCAAAGATGTGACTCATGAAATGTTGCTTCTTAAACATATTTAAAACTAATGTTTGTAAAACTTTAAGTTAATGATTTTTTTGTTAAAAATACTCTTAATTATTATTATATTAACAAATAATTTTTTCTAATCTTTAAAAAGTTTGATATTTGTATTAACTCGTACAACAAAGTGAAAAAGTATTTAAATACTCACATAATGCACCATTAATAGGTAATAGTAGTCCAAAAGAAGCCACTTCTTGGAATGCATCACTAGCATAGAAAATATAAACCTCTTATTTCATCTAGTCTAACATTCTCAAATATTGTAAAGTTCTCTCTCCTTTGCGTCCGACCTCAACCGCTGCTCGTTCAGTTTGCCTGTCCATGTCCCCCTCTCGATCTCTTCCCCTCTATCCATCTCATTTCATGCAGGAGTGGGGTTACCTAAGAGATTGGGCCTGAATGGAGAAAATCTCTTTTCTACAATTAACTGTGAAAGTGACAGAAGGAAAAGAAGGGAGGGGTCTTTGGAGGGGTGTAGACCCGGAGAAGAAAAGGGGAGAGGGAAGGACACAAGTGCGCATGGCAGGTAGTGAGTGAAGTTTAAAAACGAATATTTGCACTAAATATTCAACTTCAGAAATTTGAGTGTGATTTATTTTTCTTGAAAGTAGCCACACTTCTTAAAAAGTTTAATTTATATATGCAGGTCTTCACACTGCAGCATTTGGTTGCTGCATTTAACATTTTAATTAACTAAATACATCCTAAATGATATGAAGGGAGGGTAATGGTTTATATAACTTTATTTAACTGACAACTGTGATGTTACGGGTTGATTTTATGAGCTATATTGTCAGTATTGGTACAAAATCTCTTAATAATTATTTACTTTTCAGGTTTGGCCATCCTAATACCTGAAGTGGGATCAGGCCCAATAAAGTTGCATTACACTGATCCCAGTGAAAGTGAATTATGCCGATCCCCATAATCTCTAAATATGCAAAGGGAGTGACCACATGGTTTCCATGGAGCGATGTACACAAAAGGGTGTGGCGTGGGAATGTCCTCAGAGGTCAGGAGTGAGGGTGAAAGGGTCAGAGGTCAGAGCCAGCTGGACAGCACACAAGAGGAGATGAGGGTGAGAAAAGAAGGCGAGAGGGGAGTCCACAGACGGACTGACTGGACCCAATGGGACATTAACATTGAACTGATGGGCAGCTCACTGACCAACGTCTTTTCACAGAGAAACTAAGCTATGACACACTCATGTGTAATGGTCCGTGGTAATTGACAAGTGACAAGACCCTCATTGGGGATGCAAAAACAGTTTTCAAAATGCAGCGTTGGATTACAAGCTATACACACAATTTTTTCTGTGGTTTAATGGGATTATTTAATTCAAGGATGCAAACAGACTCTCAGTGTTATAAAGTTGTTGTAAACACTAAAACTGGATTATTTCTAATTTGTTGAAAGAATAAAAAAATTAACTTCTTTCCAAAAAGATGCCAAAAGCATATATGCTTAAAAGCACGAGCTTGGGATTTAGAAACATATATTTTTTGTGAGATAAGGTTTAAGGGTTCACTTAAGGATATTGCTTAAATAACTGTCAGTCACCATTTGAACATTAGTAATAATATTCAGCCAAGAACCTTTAGTGAGTACATCTCACTTATTTCACATCAGTTGGGATTCAAAGTCATTGTGACAAGTATGCCTTTTTGTAACGGTATAACAAGACCCAAAAATGTTATTTTTATGTTTAAAATTATTTTCTTAAGAGCCACATTGACCAAAACATATTTCTGCAAGAGCCACAATCAAAAAAACTCTTTCTTTCCTAAAATATGTGTGCGAAACACAGTGACATGACTTACAAAGAATCATTTCTGCTGACAATGTTTCCCTTTTTTAAATAATTAATTTGGATTTGTTTCTCCAAGTAGGACCCAAAAGAGCTACAACTAGTCCCGAATGAGCCACATGTGGCTGGAGAGCCTCGGGTTGAGTATCAATGCACTAGATGGACTGCATTTATACTGAATACGAGCACAGCTGTGTAAAGGGAAAAACCTCCAGCTTGTTATCGCTTTTATAAAACAGTTCCACAAACAGAAAACAAGTTTAATAAAAACCAAGCAAAGATACGGTTATAACATTTTTATTTTTTTAATGTTCATTTTGCTCCACCAATCAAGAAGCTCTGTAGCTTGACAAGAACTGGCCTGTTGCACGCCACCCTTTATTTTGATGCACTCTGATGTGTTTGTACTGCAGATCTACTTGTCCAAATCTCTTGTCCAATCTAATTACTTGTTCAGAACTAACCGGTGTAAAGTAACTTTCAGTATCAAGCTCCTATTGTTTCTTGTCATGTATAATTCAGCAGGTTTTTTCTTATTCCACCTTAAGTAATATGTGATCTTCATCAACAAGTACCAACTGTAAATTAAAGACCATTCAATCCTGTATCCAGAGGCAATACGTTTAAAAGAAAATGTTAAATGTCTCAGGGGAAAAAATGAAAATACAAATTCAATAGAAGATGTATCTCCAAAAAAAGGGTTTATGGAGCAGTCTCTAAAATACTAAACTTGCATTCACTTCATACAGTTTCAGAGATGGATTAAATAAACATTTCCTGTATGAATATGGTTGATAATTTTCCAGTTCACATGCTTATAGATGCTCTGCGCACATCAAGTGTGCAGACAGGAAGGAGAGCGTCTGTGAGCTCTGTGTCTCTATAAGTTGCTGCTAGTGAAG